TGGTGAACCGAAGCTGTTGCCGGCCAAGCGTTGATCAGTGTTCGCGTTAATTTCATTAGCCGTTAGCCGGTGTTGTCGCGCCGCAGCCGACGGAAAGAGTCTCAGAAGAGCTGTCTACCGAGGCCTTCGGCCGACGTCTTGAGAGAGCCTGCACGCCACGGCCAGGAAAGCAGGACACGAAACCAGCTACACAGACTGATGGGACACGCGCGCGAGGCACTTAACTTCACACCATGCGGCTGGCGCACCCTCACACGGCCGCCGACGGCGTGCGGTCGCCGACATAACACGATCGCGACGGCCCGCTGTGCGGTGGGCGGCCGGCGGACACTGCAGCCGCCTCACAAAACCGCCAAGAAACGACTCTCGAGGGGCAATTTTGCGCGATCGGCTCGTTGCACGTGCAGCACGCGGCTGTGGGCGGTGCCGTGCCGCGTGCGCGGCGGCGCGTCGGCCGCGTCCACACTTAAACTCCGTCATCACCACGAAGCCGGGTGCGCCAGTGTCGGCGGCTGCAGTCGGCGCGCCACGGGGCCGTGGACTGTCCGATTCCCCGGCGTCCACTGGTCCCTCAGGCGTCTCGCGCCCGGCCGCGACGGCCCACGGGGTAACAGGTCACGACCCGGACATAGCGGAAGTCACAGATCACAACCCCAGATCCACCGAGTCGCAGGTCACGCGCCGACTCGACCGAGGTCCACAGGTGACGTCTCATCTTCAGGTCAGAGGGTGAGGTGCGCCCAGAGGAGGAGGGTGCGGTCGGCGCGACGGCCGCCGGCCACCACCCGTCTGGCAACAGAGGTCACAGCAAAGGTCATCCTCCAGGAACGGCCGCCCGGACGGGGATTTCCCCGGAGATGGCCACATCAGCAACACTCAGCGCGCGTCGTCGCACATTACTCCTAAGCGCGATTAACCCGCATGGGCCGCAGACGACCGGGGACTGCCATTCTGCTCCTCAGAACAAACCGCTCTGCACGACATCAGTGTGATCATCAGCAATGTCAGTGGGACGGAGGTGCGTGACATATTGTCGGGGTTAACACCGCTCGGATGGGGGTTAATTTGAACCCCTCCATAGGTTTTTCTGGAATGGTTTCCAAACGGCGCCGCATGGTCGTGCCAAATTTTGCCATAGCTGTAGACAATGGAAACAGCGGATCGTTTGGTATCCAAAATTTAAAAGTACCTTGTAAGATCGCTGACCTATGACAGATCAAGCTCAGACAACAGATTCAGCGAAAGACAATTCAAAGGGATTCGTTCAATCTGATGCATCACCTGAGTGTTAGACGAAACCATACATTTCCGAGATACTTTCTTAGGCCACACAACAGCTGAAAGAACAAATTCCATGACCTAGGGTCAGGTATGAAGGTCAGACCGAGGTCAAAAACAGCCCTGTTTTATTACTCTAGACTTTGCTGTATGGGGAGTTTCTGGTGCTCATTTCAACGTGTTGACGCCAAAACACGCATGACACATCTTTCATGGGACTTCTTAAAGGCGAGGATAAGCAAACTGATCGAAAATCACCCCAGTTCGACACTGTCTTAGGAATATATTGCCTGGCATGATCTTGACGCTGATTCAAATGCAAAACTTAAAGCAATCTTGTATGATTTTGGTCAAAATGACCTTCGAAGAGTCAAACAAGGTTTCTGACTCTAAATGTGCACCAGTGACCTTTTGCTCAGAACAGGTAGGTTCTGAGGCACTTTGGACATCAATCTAGAGTTTGAACTTGTTTGAACTTATTTGACCCGAAGGTCGAGACCTAGGAGCCCAAATATTGACACAAGTAAGCTCACATACAGGCTAACACACCCTGTAAACATGGTGTCTCTAGCTCCCTTAGTTTCTGAGATCTCAGATGGGAGGCCAAATTGACCCCCACCCGAGCGAAAGGTATTCAACCGGCCACCTGGGCGCGTGTGAAGTCGCCCATCGGCCGCGGCTGTAGCCTCAGCTCGGCAAAAGTTTCCTTTGTGCTGTTGATTGGGCTTAAAGGGCGTAGAACTGCTAAAGTCCTTCTGCATCCATCAAAATATCATGATATTGGGGTACATTGTTCGCACAACTCACGCAGACATCAAACGAGGATATGGCATGAGTTTCGTGCAACAATATGAGAACGCTACAAAACCCTTTCCACAAAACACTAGCGAGAATGACGACACTTGTGGATAGCTGGTTTCACCTCGTGCCAGTTTCGTCAAACTGAAGTTCAACATCCTGCGCTGGTGTCGAGAATAAAACCATAGCCTGAGCACCTAACCTTTTGGCATGACTGGGCTTTGAATCATGCATTATTTCTCACGCACTACAAAAAATACATTTCTTGGCAGCGTTCACCTTATCGTCAAAGGCTCATGCCATACTAACTTCAGATGCGCTTATAACTCCAAAAGAATCCGAACGAGTCCTAGTCCAGAGCCGGCATCTGGCTACAATTATTTGCTCTTTAGAAACGACGCAAGTGGATGGTATCTCCGCAATCATCATCAACCGTAAGCTCAACGCATGCCTCAGCTTATGATGGATGATAACGTCATTATTCCCAATATCATTACGCAATCATTATCCGCCAAAGCCCGAGCCCACGGGCCCGGGCTTCTAACGGATAATGACTGCGCAGATTTTACTCAGCATGTAACGACCAATCTATGAGGTCAACTGAACTACATGGTCCCGAACACTTGTTAATAATCGAATCAAATCTAGTCGGTCATTTGTGAGAGGTTGAAACCTGCGTACTGCTGTACGTATTTCTTCTAACGCATGGTCACACAAAATGACTATTCGGCCCAAAACCAAAGCCCTGTCAAGTGCAAGGCCGCTCCTGACAGCCTGCTACATGTACATCACTTGGGTGCGTTACTATCGTTTTTTTTTGCAGCCACCTTTCCTGGGACAAATAAAACAATCCTGCGACAGCCACTGCACCGTTTCCACGAACACAAACACACCTGTACTACCATCAACATTCCAGATCTTCTTGCCGCCTCCGCAATAGTTGGAAAATCATTTGTGCGACCAGCGCCGACAGTTTTGGGACAAGGGCTCTAACGCTGACCTTTGTTCCCAAATAATCATTCCGATGTGAATTAAACGAAGGTATTGGGGTAGTGAAGTCACTTAATCGGTTAATTAACGAAGGTTTCTGATTTCAAGATGCCGAAGGCCAAAAAGTTCTTTCGTAGATAAACATAGGCACGGGCAACCACAGACAAACAAAGAGACAGAAACACACACACACACACACACGCACGCACGCACGCACGCACGCACGCACGCACGCACGCACGCACGCACGCACGCACACATATGCACGCAAACTCGCGCCTGTCAAACGCCAATACATTTCATCTCACATCTTTTATCCTCCATCATTTTCATTGCTAAAACGGTGGCCAGCAATCCGCAGTCAGTTGTACTGCGTTATAAAAAGTCACGTGCAAGATCGGACCAGAAAGGCCTTCCAAGAGGGCGAAAGAGGGCTGTAGCTCGCACCGCGCACTACACTACACTTGCTACGGTCGCCCGGACCGGCCTGCTGCGGTGGTCTCGACTGTTTCCCCGAGTACCGGCCTCAGGGGACCGTCACGCGCCTCTGCGACCCGGCGACACCGTACCCCGCACGATCTTCCCACGCGCGGGTCGCAGCCCTCTGCCGCCACACGCGCGCCCCCAGTGTGCAGTCCTCCCGCACGATCTTCCCACGCGCGGGCCACACCACCCTGTCGCCACACGCGCGCCCCCAGTGTGCAGTCCTCCCGCACGATCTTCCCACGCGCGGGCCACACCACCCTGTCGCCGCACGCGCGCGCCCAGTGTGCAGTCCTCCCGCACGATCCTTCCACGTGCGGGCCACACCACCCTGTCGCCACACGCGCGCCCCCAGTGTGCAGTCCTCCCGCACAATCTTCCCACGCGCGGGACACACCACCCTGTCGCCACACGTGCGCCCCCAGTGTGTGGCCCCCTCCCCCGCAGGTCCGCGCAGCGATCATCTTTGTTAAAAGCGTGCCTCGCCAGCCCGCCGGAGCGCCGAGCGTGCACGCGCCGCCCACGGCGGCCGGAAGTCCCAGCCGACGCAACGCCAGCGCGCCGAGCACGCCAGCAGAGACGTGTCGTCCAGTCCCTCAGCCCACTGACCGCGCGGCCCGCAGTTCCCTGACCGTCACGTCCAGGCAGCCCCCCCCCCCCCTTCCCCTCCTCCTCCGGAGACCGGGTGGGCGGCGGCCGGTGATCGTGACGTCCAGGCAGCCCCCCCCCCCCTCCCCTCTCCTCCGGAGACCGGGTGGACGGGCCGACGGCGGCGGACAGCGCAGGTCGGCCCAGCACGACGGGTTGGGACTCCGCAACACAAACAAAAACAATAGCACCGAGCGAGCGGCCGGCGGCAGCCTGCCGGACAGCGGCACGGGGCCGGTCCACGCGGCGGCGCGCTCCCCAACACCACACCTTAAGCCAGGTGCGGCCCGAGCGGTCAGCACTAGCAGTGCCCCTCCCACTGGCCAAGCAGCGTACCCAGCGGGGCATCACATCCGAGCACGCGGCAAGGCTCTGCGCTCTCTGCCAAGAAGCACAACACGCTACGAAAAGCGACGATACGAAATCGCAAGGCATATATCCAGATAGTGGCGATAGTGGCAGATAGTGGCGATCTTGACAAGGTCCTAACGTATAACTGGTAAGAAAAAATATTGGGAGACAGCAACCAGCACGCACGTCTACAACAGGACATCATCGCACAACATTACGCACACGCAAACTGCAAAACAACAAAGTCAGTCCGTGTACTGTACAGTATGCGCACTGTTATGTTAAGTGGTCAGGTTTAAATCACAGTGTGCGCACTGCCATGTGACGTGGTCAGGTTTAAATCACAGTATGCGTACTGCCATGTCAAGTGGTCAGGGTTAAATCACAGTATGCGCACTGCCATGTAAAGTGATCAGGCTTAAATCGCAGTATGCGCACTGTCATGTTAAGTGGTCAGGGTTTAAATCACAGTATGCGCACTGCCATGTAAAGTGATCAGGCTTAAGTCACAGTATGCGCACTGTCATGTTAAGTGGTCAGGGTTAAATCACAGAATGCGCACTGCCATGTAAAGTGGTCAGGTTTAAATAATGGTATGCACACTGTCATGTAAGGTGGTCAGGGTTAAGTCCATATATTACTGAATGATACTGGAACACCCATGCCAAACTCGCCGTGGCTCATCACCATTCATGTACTGTTCAGACTTCTACAAAATGTCACGTTCTGAAATTTTTAAATCCCAGCAAATGTATCATGCCAGTGTCTCTTTACCTTGCCTGCTATACCTTCATGAAAACGAGGTGCACACTAATTAAACTATCCAGCTGAACAACGGATCTTACACTACTTGGTATCAAGACGGAAGTTTATCGCGTCATGTCTGGTGGCCAGCTCTATACTTGGCTTTCGCACCCTCACTCAACTGAAGATGTGCTGACATCGTCACAAGGTATGGGAGCGACGGCCACGAGCCGCGGCCCGTCACCGCAATCGTCATTTATTGTCAAAATTTATTACGGATCTTACATCCTGAAACGAGAGGGTCAAGAGCTTCACAGAATTCACTAATGCGGCTCAGGCCATGGTGAATGACCACCAAATGTGTTCGGATGAAGTTCCCTTTGATATGGTTGGTTTTCTTTGTCTTCGAAAACCATGGTCAGCTTAACAGTGATGGGCCGGCGGGATGCTGGACTGCGCATCTACAGAAACTGAGCCCACGTGTCTTTACGTTACACTTCAACGTTGCGTCATCTCATGCCATTCTTTTAACACATGTATTCTGGACGGACGTCAGCGGTTAATGCTGAAGCGACGTGCGAAGCTTCGGCTTTGATATGGAAGCTACGCCAGGCCTACCACGCCGCGCCGCGACGCACCGGCGCTGACGGAGCTGCTTACTCCACGGCGTTGCTGCACGATGAGTCGAGACGAAAGGCGCCAAACGGCGCATAATCCATGTTGTTCTGGATTTCTTAGTGCTGGGGGATTGGAACAAATACCTTCTCATTCTGCACGTCATGAACATGCAGTTTTCATTTAAGTGTCCCATCACTTTCAGTACCAGTGACTCTAAAGTGTGTGCCAACACAATGACGGACAAAATCAAACGACGGCTATAATACGGCGCCACTGATGGTGAACCCACTTGTGGTCGTGGCGCCGGCTGCCAATGTCTATGGCTAGCTCGAGACAACAGCCTGCCAGTGCAGTGACCCCCCATCAAGATCCTTATCCGTGCACCCGCCATCAAAAAATGAGATGATGAGATCTGCCCATTAACCGTGCACCAAACTGTGCCGCGAAGAAGGCCTTTGGTTGCGGCTCGCAGCACATCTCTGACCAGCTGACGGAGTCTGGACCACCTTAGAGCGCGTGTGCCTTGTCGCCCCGCTTACTAAAAAGCCCATGTAGCGTGTTACAGCACTTAAATGGCCACCACCATTCCACTCCAGTGCCTCCCCCCCCCCCCCCCCCCCCACCTGAGTACACCTGGCCCGGCGGCCGCCCCGGGGCAGGCCAGCCCGAGGTGCCCGCCGCCGTCAGCCGGGCGCCGCCGCGGCGGTGCAGGACGCTCGCCGCCGCCGTCAGCCGGGCGCCGCCGGCGGTGGTGCAGGTCGCCCGTCCGCCGCCGTCAGCCGGGCGCCGCCGGCGGCGGTGCTGGTCGTCCGCCCGCCGCCGGCGGCGGTGCAGATCGCTCGCCCGCCGCCGCCAGCCGGGCGCCGCCGGCGGCGGTGCGCCGGCCGCCAATCGCCACGCTGATCAGCGGAGCCGGAAGTCCGTCTCTCACGCCTCCGCCACCGCCGCCAGGCCCAGGCTTAACATTCATGTCACAGCTCTGGAGCTGGGATAGACTTTCCGGGATATTTGGTGTCGAAATGCCGAACGCCCGAAGGCTTACACAAAAATCGCGGCTCTCAATCACATAAGCTGTGATATTATCACAGCGTTTGCCAAATGACGCGTAGCGTGTGACATGTGAGCATGATCTCATTCAGGTTAGCACTTTCTCCCGAGTTCAACTTCGACACCGGCCTGACCGCCGCACAGGCCCTCAAATGATCCTTAACACCGCACATCTCCCATCACCGTCACGACCCACGCCTGCCTGGGTCTAACGCGATCATCACATGGTATGTCACCTGCCTCCGGCCCGGCCCGACGACCGGTGGCGGTGTGGGTGGTGCCGTCATTATGAGCGTGGCCGCCGGCTGCGGGTGGCGAGCCTCAGCGGCAGCCACCGCCACCGGGCGGTGACGAGCCTCACCGGCAGCCACCGCCACCGGGCGGTGACGAGCTTCAGCGGCAGCCACCTGCATGCACTCATTCGAGGATGCAAAGTTTTGAAACTTGGGTGTGGGTACTACACACAAGTGTCAAGCAGCCTCGCCCTGTTAGTCTCGTTGCCTTCCCCGGCAGCGCCCGCGGAGCAGGATACAATTTGAGTTGGCAGCGGGAATTAATTGGGGTACGTCGATAGCCGAATAAGAGGCTTGGGCTCGAGCCTCTTTGAGCACCGCCGAGCACCGCCTCACCGCCCAAGTCAGCCAGCAGAATGGAATGTCGCAACCCAAACGGAATGATCGGATCGCCCGAGCGGGAATCAAGTCGGAGAATTAGGTCCTAATAGAACCGAAACCGGTCCTAACACGCCTCTCACACATCAAACTTGTGCGCACCATTAGCCTGATTTAATTACATGCAAAGCGTGCGGAGGGGCTATGACTATTAATGGAACTATTGAGGAAAATCCCCGATGTCTACCCACACGCTGCATGCTACGGTGTTTCATAAGCCATTCTCAAGGAGACTGTTCTTATAATCAACATCATACTAAACAATAAGACGTGTGCTGTGCATACGCCACATGCATTGAGCAGCAGCTGATGCCGCGGTGCTCAGCGTTTCACGCCGAGGCTGAGAGCAGTCCCACCTATCGATTACACACTGTACTTCTGTTTGCGCCAATGGCCGCGCTATCCAAGACGCTCGCGCGCAACGAAGTTCTACCTTCCGGCTGCTTCGCAGAGACTTTCCGTCTAAATTAGGGATAAATCGGTCTTTCGGGAGGTGGATTCTTCGGCAAACCGGAGAGCGGTAGGATAACTGGTTACAGCGGCGGGGCTGGCGCGGTATCTACACCCACCAGGCATTGTGCCTCACAGCCAGCGTGGCAAATGCAATCTCACATGAAGGACACGGGCGCGAAACCATCGCTGATTCATTGTCGTGCTTCTAGTTGCTCTTACCGTCTGTATTTGCCTACGTGCGGTCCATTTTTTGAGGGGCCAATGATCATCTCATGAACATGTGACATGGAAAACTGACTGGGAAGTATGTGTTTCCACCAAAAGGTACAAATGCACGTCCACGAAATGTATACGAAAATACATCAATTTGTTCTTACATGACCTTCATAACTTAGGGCTGGAGTCTACAATAGGCAAACGGCAAGGTGCCAACACTTAAAGTCAAATTTATGACACGTTTTACTCAATGCCAAATATGACGACACAATGTCAAATTCCAGGCAAATTAACAAGTTTCAGTACACCAATTGGAGCTAAATAGTGGCCAGATGTTGCAATTTAGAAAATATAAAAAGCAGGAATCACTTACTGAATTAATCGATCATTTCCTGAACCAGTTTTATCATCATACAATTTTCGAAATGATTGAAGCCAAACACCGTTTAAATACCTCCGTAAGACGTTACGGAATATATGCATCACATTTCACCGGAGTCACAGTATTTCCTTATCGCCATGGCAGTCAAACACTACAGACAGCAGGCCAGCGAACTCCGGTGGCAGGTTCCGCGTCTCCTGCCACTTTGCTTCCAGCGTGCAGTTCGCCCTGCCGAACGCGGCGCATGCTCCCCGGCGAGCGGACCTCAGCCAGACGGCGTGCGGAGGTCACCAGAGGAGACCGTGGCTCGTCTCTAGGTAAATGGGTGGCGAGAGGGGAGGGATCGCCCTCACTCGGCCTCGGCCCCGGCCTCCGCCCGCCCGCCCCCCCCCCCCCCCCCCCCCCCCCCCTCCAACCCCGTTACGCCGAGGGACGGATCACATCTCTCACAAGATCGCGGCCGTTACATGTGCTAACACATACAACGTCGGCCGGCTTATAGTTATACTACACACTCAAAAGGCTGGGGTGTAGAATCGAAGCGACTCGTCTCCGTACCACACTTGACATGTCCGACTGAATTCGCCTACGTTTCGGGCACATCTCGTATTTACTAGTGCACTATTTGGTAGCGACATGTATCAGCAACACACTAATCATAAACATGCTTTATTTGTGATCGAATACCTCACCTGGACCGTCCGACCAACCATGCCGTATCGGTCCCCAGTCGCACTCTTCCCCGCCTTGTACAGCACGCTGACCCGGCGACACCGCCGTGACATGGCGCCGCCGCTCACCCGGCGTTCAGTTGACGAAGGTGGCGCTGTCCTCGGTCTTCTCCTCGGCCGACGGCGGGTCGTTCCACTTGTGGTGTTTGGTGTGGCAAAAGTTGATAATGCGCACGTGGATGGCCTGGCTGCGCTCCATCTTGGGCGGGATCTGACAGAGCCGGAACGTCACGCGGTCCTCCTTCACCGGAATGTACTCGCCCTCCACGCTGCGGAAGGACAGAGGGGCGGGGTCAGGTGACGGTGGCGTCAGCGGTCGGCTGGTGCCGGGCCGCCTCCGGGCGTGGACAGCACGCGGGGCGTCCACGCTGTGGGAGGGCGGAGGGGCGGGGTCAGGTGACGGTGACGTCAGCGGCCGGCAGGTGCCGGGCCGCCTCCGGGCGTGGACAGCACGCGGGGCGTCCACGCTGTGGGAGGGCGGAGGGGCGGGGTCAGGTGACGGTGACGTCAGCGGCCGGCAGGTGCCGGGCCGCCTCCGGACGTGGACAGCACGCGGGGCGTCCACGCAGACCAGCGGTCTAACTGCTCACGCCCCGCTTCATGCCCCAGTGCTGGCCAGACTGATCACACTCGTGCCGATGCACTCACGACGCACTTGAAATGGGCGAGTCAGATACCGCAGCATTCGCCTATCTCGTACGATGCATGGTTTCATTAGCGTTCCCGAATCCAGCAAAACACTGCTACGGTCACAGCGGTGAACGGCGCCAGTTTCTAACCCGCCAGCTCTTCCTCAATCACAAACGTCAAAGATCCTGTCAAACCTCCTCCAATCCCCCCTCGACAGCCAAAACAGCTGACAAAGAGAGTACCAGTGACACCGCTACAGCAATAACAAAACTGGATAGAAATGAGCCCTAGGAAGCGCATCTCTGTCCCCTGCATACCGTTTCTAAATACCAGAGAGTAAAAAGCCTACCAAAAACCGACATCATACTCATGTCACTCGTGCGAAGATGCATCGGCGCGCGCCGACACCCGCGCCCTCTCGCCGTTCCCTACAGACCACACGGCCAAGAGGGCCTCACATCTCACACGGCTGACGGCGCTCGCCTGGGCCCGGACTCACTCCAACCCGGACTCAGACCCGGACTCTGACCCGGACCCGGACTCGGGCCCACTCACTCGGACTCGGAGCCGAACTCACTCGGACTCGGATTCGAACTCGGACTCGGACATGAACTCGAACTCGGAGCCGTACTCACTTGGACTCGGACTCGAACTCGCAGACGCACTCACTCGGAGCCGTACTCACTCGGACCCGGGCTCGAACTCGAACTCGGAGCCGTTCTCACTCGAACTCGGACCCAAACTCGGAGCCGTACTCACTCGGACTCGGACTCAAACTCGGAGCCGTACTCACTCGGACTTGAACTCGAATTCGGAGCATTACTCACTTGGACTCGAACTGTAGCTCGGAGACGCACTCACTCGGAGCCGAACTCACTCGGACCCAGACTCGAACTCGAACTCGGAGCCGTGCTCACTCGGACTCGGACTCGAACTCGGAGGCGTACTCACTCGGACACGTGGACGAAAATGAGCGGCTCGCCGGGGCGTGGCTCGTCGGGCCGGATGAAGCCGTGGCCCTTGGTGCGGCAGAAGCTGACGATGGTGCCGCTCTGGTCCGGGTTACGCATGCCGCGGTCAGACCTGCGCGCGCACCCACCCCCTGTCAGCCATCCCGTCAGCCATCCCGTCAGCCGTCCCGTCAGCCACCCCGTCAGTCAGGCAACACGGCCTGGCTAAAGCCGAACATGGAACGGTACACGGCATGGTGAATACTCATGTTAACAATAATACTGATGCATCAAAATGGAAATATGGATATGGGACAGCAATGTGAATGACGATAAAATCCTGAAAATTACGAGGTTGCGGAATGAAATGCCAGATTTAAGCGGTGAAATTGACAACTCACACACACGTTGGTCAACCAAAGCTAGCTATTTTTATTTCAAGCATTCGTCATGCGTCGTACAAGCCAGGGATATAACGACATAGCCCGGTCGGGAGACGACATCATGACGTCAGTCACGCTGCATTTCGCATGCCAAGCCACACGTCACAGAAATTCTTCAGCTCAGCGACAGAGCCGTGATCGGCAGCACGGCGCTGGAGGTACGGTGGGCGTGCTCAGCACGGCATTGGAGGGTACGGTGGGCGTGCTCAGCGCTGGAGGGTACGGCGGGCGTGCTCAGCGCTGGAGGGTACGGTGGGCGTGCTCAGCACGGCGCTGGAGGGTACGGTGGGCGTGCTCAGCACAGCGCTGGAAGGTACGGTGGGCGTGCTCAGCACAGCGCTGGAAGGTACGGTGGGCGTGCTCAGCACAGCGCTGGAAGGTACGGTGGGCGTGCTCAGCACAGCGCTGGAAGGTACGGTGGGCGTGCTCAGCACGGCGCTGGAGGGTACGGTGGGCGTGCTCAGCACGGCGTTGGAGGGTACGGTGGGCGTGCTCAGCACGGCGCTGGAGGGTACGGTGGGCGTGCTCAGCACAGCCGTCCTACAGATCGCCAGGTCAGAGTACACCAATGCCGGCGATAGGGGGCGGGGGGCAAGGGGTGTGTGATAGCGCACACCCGGTCACCGGCCGGTCGGCCCATCGCAGGGCGCCGGCCGGCGGCGTGACGTACCCAGTGCAGGAGTGAGATGCTCCACGCACAGGTGTAACTAACACCGGGGTCATGTACAATTCTAGGCTTTATACTGAACACAACTACGCCACGTCTGCGTCCCGGGGCCGGTTCCGTCTAACGCAGCACAATCAACTCATGTCAGCATTCCGTTTTCCGCCAGCGCACCCGATGGAGCAGCGTTGCTGGTGCCGCTGCCAGTGTCCAGCCTCAATAACTCCGGTTCCATGTCGCCTGTCCAGCCTCAATAGCTCCGGTTCCATGTCGCCTGTCCAGCTTCAATAACTCCGGTTCCATGTCGCTGTGCGCACATCGCCGCGACAACATCCTCCTTCGCAGCTGATTGGCCCCGCGCAGGTTGCTTTCAGAACGATATCAGAATCGTATCATGGCCACAGTATCGTAGTAAAAAATTAGCGTTCCCTGTAGCCGACGTCGCCACAGGTCCTTCGGCCACTCGGCACTCGGTATCTAGAAACAGCCGAGCAGGGGTGACTCATGAAATGAAGGGCATCGGTGGCTGCCGCACACCCGTGGTGCTTGACACAACCTGCTCGATAAGAACCCAACAATACATCTAAGTGTTTGGGCTTCAACAAGGTCTGAAAGTCTGACTTGTCACGCTGGCCGATAGCTTTAAGCCGATAGCTTTCACCTTTAGGTCTGAAAGCTATCGGCCTAAAGGCGAAAGCTATCGGCTTAAAGCTATCGGCCAGCGTGACAATTGGCGGATATTCCTGATCCTTGGCGTACCATTTTTCAGAGGGCGTTTCCTCGCAGCGCTGCAGTAGTTCTGCAAACTTCTGCTCTCATTTTGCACACTCTGGTCGTGACGCTCCCAATCATGGTGGGCGTTTTAGTTCAAACTAGCCCCTTTTACTGCTAGCGTTTATCCGACCGGTGCCTCATTTGGTTCCGTCGCACCGTACCGGTACCTTGTTCAAAAGACCATACGACTGGGAAAAACGAGGGAAAACTCATCGTTTTTCGTCGGGCCTATCCCAGCAGTCACTAAAACTCCCTCCGGAAGCGTTTTTCCTTCCTCACGTATCAATCCGTCTTTTTACGACTGTGTATTTGGTCCATGGAACCAAGTCATTCAGTGCCGCAAACGTGACATGATAGGTACACACGAATGGAACAACTCCTCCAAAGTGGAAACCTACGCTTCTTTTGATAGTCCGACAACAATCATGATGCCCCACCTGCTGGTTTCGTCAGCATTTCAGATTTCGTACAAATTAGGGCCCTGTCTTACAGTGCTTGCGTGAAATGGGCTACCACAGCACCCAAACGAGGCAATGTTTCAGTGGTTTGTGATGCGCCGCGGGTGAAAAACTCCACAACCGATCACGTGCTCGGCCAATGCCGACGACAATATAATTATGAACCTCTTCGGTTGGACCCAGCTCTCTTAGACCACTCAGAACAACAGATGACGTCAGAATACCACGGAATACCTATCAATTGCAGCCCGACCTTAACCTGACACGACCTGACCCGTTCGATCCGGACCAGGCTTAGTCGCCGGGCCCGGATAGCTAGCCTCAGGTCGGGTCGAGGTCAGGTCGGACCCACACAAAGGAAACTTCAGAGCGTCCGGCTTCTGCGGGGTAGAAACTGGCCGCCGCGAATTCGTCTGTCTGTCTGTTTACGAAACCGTCGGCGGCTGACACAACCCATGCAAACATCGGGACGGTAGCGCAGTGCTGCCAAATGCATCCTGCTGCGAAGCGTCAGCGGGCAGTGCGGCTGCCAAATGCACGGCGACGCTAAGTCACGTTCGTTTCGTCAGGGCCCGAGAAGCCTCGCAGTATGTCGGGCGCATATCCCACACAGAGACAGAGGACCAGACCTGACAAAAAAAGAGGACTCACCGACAGCGGCCCGTACGCGCAGACTGCAGAGTTGACTCAGAGGCCACACGCGTGAGGTTGGCTCACGTGGAGCTCACGTGGCTAGCTCGGACTCGCGCGCACGGCACGTGACCACATTCCAGGAAAGAGCCTGCACTACACGTGACCGCCTCGCACAGGGCGGCCTGAGGCTCTCTGGCGGCGGGGGACGCTGGGCGGGGCGACTCACGTGGACTGGGTGCGCGTTCGGCGAGTGATCAGCGGACTGGGCATGCGAAGCGACGGGTGGCCGTCCAGCACTGGCGACAGCTTGCCCTCCTCCATGATGCTGGTGATCTGAAACAGGCATAACTTCAGCCCCACTGGGCACGGACGATTGCCGCTGACAATAGGTGACCATCCGTGTTCCTATCGAGATGATCGGCGTATGGCATTTCTCCTTGATTCCCCTGACCCTGCAACTGATGACAGCCCAAAATGCAATCTGGTAGCATTAAAACAAGCCAAGAAATATGCATGTACTCCTACTGACCATATACATGGGGACATTATCTGGATGTCATCATAAGTGGCATTAGCACAGTGACTGAGCAATATTTTTTGTGGTTTTACTGCTTTAACTCTGACACATGCACATCTTCACATTCCATTACTCCTGCAAAAACAATTACTTATCACAAAAAAACACCAATCAGAACAGCTGACTGCATTTGGTGACACCACACATTACACATCTGTTCCATGTTCAAAGTAGGGTGGCAGCAGGCCAGGCTAAGGATGAAATTTGTTCAGTTAATAAAACACAAAACATGCCAAGAGACTAAATATCTGCTGAGACACAAGCAACTTGGAAGTAGTTAGGGGTCTGTAGCAACTGTTGGACACTAGAGGCATACTCTATGCACTTGTGCATTTGTTCTTTTTGTTATCAACAGATAGGAAACATTTGACTCTGGACTAAACAGCATCCCAAGACTTAGTAGCCTCCTACAAACAAATAACTTCTGTATTGCACAAATTTATTGATAATCTCCCTCTTAAGCTATTTTTCAAGTGTAACTTGCCAACATAACCCCCAAAAAGGTTGTGATCTGCCCATCTCCACAGCAATGACCATCACAACTCAACCTGGTCTGATGCACTGGTACTTGATGTTTGCAATGTCAAACAGAACATTGCTTAAATGGGATGGAACTCTATGTTGTCTGAGAAATCCTCCATTTATTCAGTTCCCAAGTCAATTCCAAGTTAATGCTCTCATCTTGACATATTGGCCTTGGCAGATGTTACAGCCAGCAGGTTGGACCAGTGTGTCCCACCCCGGATGGTCTGTCTGGACACTGCATATAATCATGGATGCAACTCCCATTTTGGTACATATAATGTTCTTGGCTGGTTTGAACTTCCAAGCCTGTCTCAGCATGGCAAATGCCAACAAAGGTATCTGGACTTAAACCATTGTGCACTTTCAAACATTGCTTCAATGTATCTCTGATGTCTATGTGCATAAAACTCAATTTTGCACTTTTCATGACTGCCACCCCGGGGCCAGACGGCTTAAATGCTATTTTATCCGATGGTGGTTATGCCTTTTTGTTCTCAGATACCACAACTCATCCTGTAGTTAATACTATCATTGTCTCATACCTACTTCAACTACCTCGCATAGGCAAATTATAATGACAGCATGTGTGGACAGTTTGTTATTTGCATCCCAAATGCAATATGTAGGTACATGGTGCAGCCATGCATACACCACTTGGGCCCTGGATTTTCCTCCAAGTTCATGAAAAGCACTTACTTTGTGGCATACAGCACCACACAACAACCACCACAAACCATCAAACTCATCAAACATATCAAACTCTCCAGCTGTGAACCAACCACTATTTGTGTGGCTGGGTAAAGCAGACTGCTTTCATGCGTGTGTTCCAACCCAAAATAGTCAGTTTATAGTTGATGGATAATTTTCCACATCCTCAGCAAGCAAGATGCCAAACATAACATATGTGGCCAATGCTATGATCTTGTTTGATGAGTGTGATACATTGACTTTTTCACTAACTAAATTTAGTATACTTCTCTATTTCCTTTCATTTGATTCTAAAGGCTTACAAGCTGACCTACACTGAAGCTTTTGCCAGCATCCACTATTTTTTCCTGATTTCCATTCAATTATGCATCCTAGCACCATCCTGTTTATCCATGGTAAGCAACGAGTACCAGCTGCGTGGGCTTAAGAGTGCCCTGATAGGAGCATAAACTGAGAGCCAAGTTAGGACTAATGCCTTCAATATACAATTTGTTTGCTGCAAAACCAAGATATAATGCCATGTCATCCAGTTTTTGGAGGATACAGGCCTGGCCTCTACTCCTTGACATTTGGAAATCACTGAAATTATAGTCCTCAAGAGTGCTACAGTAATATGAGATATGGCAGTACCCAACACCTGGTTGATGGCATGTATCTATGGAGTATAAATTGCCCTTGCTACCCACACAATCATTGGCATTTTAACATCTGAGGGGAGCAAAACACAAAAATACAGATGCATCACAGCTCTCGACACATCCAACATGTTTGTCAACTCAGCTAAAAGGTGCAGGAGCTGGTAAGGCCACGAGTGGTGGGCCAGAGTACTGAAAATTCAAGGTTCCTGGCAATCCTTCATGAAAATTTAAGATGGACCATACGGACAAAGAATGGAAAGAAACAACCATAATGACCAATAGCCACCCCACGCGACTTCTCTGAAGCAGTCATACACGCCCATAAACATTTAAAGGCAGTCAAAGACAATAAGCAGTACAGCAGAACACACCGAACCAGATATGCGATACTCAGGACACAAGTGTACCTGCACGTTCGAGCTCCTCCGTTCGTGGGACCCTCGTGCGGGACCCTCCCTTGCAATGCGTAATTACGCACGACGTCGCAACCGGAGTCTGGAACTCAAGGGCAACGCGGGCAACGCAGACATGGCGGATCTGCGATCACGCCTTCGTCACTGTATCTCCACAATGTATACCTGAATTCTAATTAAATTCCGATTCTTATTTTCATTTTGATTTATCTATCATTATCATCCCTTCCAATTGTTATACTTTTGATCATATGGCACTTAATTTCCGATTGTTTTTCGTTCCCGGGCTTGTTTTGTTAAAGCTAAAAGTCGTGTCGTTGCACACACAGCGCAATGACTTCTCGAAATATTACCATATCGTAGCCGTATGGGGCATGTGGCATTTGTGACTTACACTCGAACATTTTCATGTCACTAACGCGTAGCGCTACGAACGTCAAATTTGATGCGCGGAGGGTCGCCGACGGCGCGTCAGCCGCCGTGGCAAGTAAACAACCGAGTAGGTTGATGTGCGTTGAAGGCTCGCACGTATTCTGCATCTCTAATATTCGGATGGCGGATGTCTCGCGCCATGGTTTCGCACTATTTTTAGTATTGTACGGTCATGGGCGTGGTTCCGGAAAATGAGTTACAGTGGCTGAAACATGAAATATTATGAAAGTTAACGCTCAAGTTTGTTAACAGTTGCGTTTGCTCCGGATTTGGCCCAGTTCTCTCTCAGAGGTTGGGGCGCTGGAGCCCAAGTTAGAGGGACTGCGAGCCCCCTATTTGAAAAGGAAACTGTGCGTGATAGCAGGTTGACAAAGCATTATTTCCAGCTAGGTAGCATTGGATGCAGGGTGCAATGTGCTAGCGATGCACGTGCAAGTGATATGTACCCCCGTGTGATTGCTGCTGTGCGGGTTGAGCGGACGTTCGGTGGAGGCATCGCACATGCGCATTTTGACGCGCAAGGTCCCTGAATTTAAATGTTACTGATGCGCATGTCTCTTGTGGCCTGGCTCGCTCAGGATCAAGGTCGGAAGCCGCACGCGCAGGCTTGCCTCCCCTGCGCCTCTTGTGGCCTGGCTCGCTCGGGATCAGGCTCAGAAGCCGCACGCGCGGGCATGCCCTCCTTGCGCCTCTTGTAGCCTGGCTCGCTTAGGATCAGGGTCGGAAGCCGCACGCGCGGACGTGCCCCCACCCCCTGCGCCTTTTGTGGCTTGGCTCGCTTAGGATCAGGATCGGAAGCCGCACGCGCGAGCGTGCCTCCCCTGCACCTCTTGTGGCCTGGCTCGCTCAGGATCAGGGTTATAAGCCGCTCGCGCGGGCTTGCCTCCCTTGCGCCTCTTGTCGCTCAGGATCAGAGTCAGAAGCCACACGCGCGGGCGTGCCTCCCTGCACCTCTTGTGGCCTGGCTCGCTCAGGATCAGGGTCAGAATCCGCACGCGTGGGTATGCTTCCCCTGCGCATTCGATGGGCCTGTCAAATAACGGGATGTGTTAGACACACGCGACCCGGAACACCGTGTAATGTCCACTTTTACCCTTCCACCCCTCGGGCAATTTGGCAACTGCTCACTCGTGTTATAGATATGCCCTGGATGGCCTGCGGTACGCACGCGAGAGCCTGGCATCCCCACGTCATTGCCGCCGATCAGGAAGTGTCTTGGAGTTCATCTTTGACATACTGGAAGCTTGGAGCATGTGATGGAGTAAGAACGCAATCGGTCGGCCCGTTTCCTGCGTGTGTCAGGTCGTCGATGGCGCATCTACAGGGGAGCGCGGGGCCACGACCCTCCTTTAGGCTACCCGTGAGGTTTTGGCACCCTCTCAGGACACCAGAACAGCATGGTGAAAGCGGACCGAAGCCTTCATTTTGAAAAACACAACCTTCATTTTCAAAAGTTACCAACTTCCAATAGCGCCAACATCATACCCCGAGTGGCCCTGGATAGCAAAGGGCCTCCTGGCTTTAGCGTTGGTCGGGCCCTGTTGACAATGAAGGGACATATGACAAATTACTATGCGAATGTTCACATTCACATTAAGACAGTGGAATGGCCCTTCATCAGTCAGAGGCCCCAGTGGAATGACCCTGCATCAGTCATAGGCCCCAGTACCGAAAAAAGAGCCCCTCCGTGCTGCTTTAAACGGATCGATTGCTCAAAAAGGATTTCTGTGGCCATTTCATGGACTCGGACAGCATGCGCCGGTGAGGGAGTATTTTGCGTCAGTGAAGGCCCCTGCGTCGATAATGCGTCAGACGCCTCGGCCATAGAGCCTGCCGCACAGGAAACGGAATGGCGTATGGCGTATGGCGGGGATAGGAGTATCTCCAGCTGGAGACCAGAACATCCCACCGCTGAAACTTCGAAGCTGATTTTCTGAAACGATTAGCAGCTAGAACAACGCTTACAAAACAGATTGCGTCATTACGTGACGAGTTTGTGGCCCTGGGTGTGCTAATCCACTGCGAGTATGAATATGCCAGGTGCACTGGTGACAGGTATTGTCAGGGCTTTCTTCTTCACGTAGAATTGATTTAATCACGCATTCGAAAGTACTTCTGTCCGATACGTGGTCTTTTGCATCCTCTCATTGATGATCACCGAGTGTTGACTGCAGAGGCCGATGCCCCGAGATCCGTAAAGACTGCAACGCCGGGTGCAAACGGCCCAGGTCCGGGCAGCCGACGGGGCGGGCTGTCCCTCCCTATGCCCGTTTTGTTTTATGTTGGTTCCAAAGATGGGTCGTTACAGAAAGCCAAAAATCAATACGCATTTGCACAATGCAGTGAGATCCATTGCTGTTCAACAAATACATCTACAAGACAACAACAAAGTAGTTGAATATATCAGTTTACGAACGAGTGAAAATGATAAAGGCGATATTGATGTGCGGTTCAAGAAGCGGCGGTCATACATATTTATCCGTGAGTTTTAGATGTTTACCTATGCTCTCATATTTGGTTAGGACATCATTCTGAACCCAGTCAATGCCAAATCTTATTTCCATCATAACTGCCAATCATCTCGAACTTCTTACGTGATTGAAACATGCAAAACACGCTCACCATTGATTGGGAAATCGTAATGGAGATGGTGACCGGGAAGTCGTGCTCACGAGCGCCAGATCTGAACGGCTCGCCGATGGCATGCTTTTTGGCCTCGAACGTCGCCTGGCCTATGAGATAGCAGCATTTGAATGGCATTGCTATATCATTATGCTTGTCTGAATGACCTTGGAATAGGCTGCACGAAAAGTTTGTTCGTCTCCGCGTGTGATAAGCTCAGAAGCTAGTGGGGTTCTACATCTAGAGAGGGACAAGGCTGTGAACTGCACCGAAATTTCCAAAACGTGCGATTTCAGCTTGAGCCCATACAAATGTAGAACGCTTCCTTTAATCGCCATAACCAAGCGGCGCCGGCCGGCCGCTAGGTATTTATGACGATATAGCGCTGTGGGCGCCCTTCATCCTCTGCATATTGTCGTGTACGTGATTAATTGCCCTCTGTCCTGCCAAGGTGATCACCGTCCTGGTGGCGCAGTGGTTTAGCGCGCCTGCGTTGTGAGCGCTTAGCGAACCCAACACGAGCATTTCGTGTTGGGTTCGGTTCCCAAGAGCGGCGGCCTTTCTTTTGTAGGGAGACCTTTTATTTTCGCGTCTGTTCTCGAAGCTACGTGGTCACGTGACTCGGCCAATCACTGGCCGGGGAGTAGGTCACGCCTGGGGTCGGGGTTGGGGTCGGCGGTGGGTCAGTGGTGGTCCGGGCGGCGCCGGGGAAGGTAGTCAGCTCTCGTTCATATTCACGACGTAGCTGGCTCCTTTCCCTCCGCTTCCTTTGACTGCCGCTCTGGTACTGCTACCCTCAGCTCTCGTTGACATCCACGACGTAGCTGGCTCCTCTCCCTCCGTTCCCTTTGACTCCGACGCCGGTTCTTCTACCTTCCTCCGCTATCGTCGATATACCCGACGTCAGCGTGTTCTTGTCAACAATGTTATTCACGATGTTGACACATCTTTAGTGGCCGTTGTTGTTTCCGACGACTGCCACATCCCCTGGGAATTATAGCCGCCGTGTAGTCGTATCGAACATGGTCTAAAGCGGTGTAGGAAATTTTTACGACTTCATGCTATATACTCCTGTTATTAATATACCCCATTTTGGTTAAACGCCTTTGGGTCTGCTCGGGATTAAATCGAGCGCGCCCATCATAAACAATATGTTCCGGCTCGTATATGTCCCAAACCAAGTCCTTGCGCATATATTCTACGACAGATGTTTGATATGCATCTGCACAAGCTATGAGATGAAGATGCGAACAAAAAATGTCGGTTCTTCGTTTCCCGCAGAAGGAAAGAAACGCGAACATTTGCAAAAGATGCCGGACAGTCGTACTGACGCGTCCCGTTATGAAAGATAGGAATAGTTATTGCTCGTCCATGCAGTTATGTGGAACGTGGGGGCTTTTTACGCATACTATTCGAGCTTTTGATATGTTTTTTGTGTCTTGGATAAAGCAGTTTTCCCGTGCCGCCATTTATTCAACATGGCCTCAAAGAAGCTCACCATTTGGTCATTCTCTGATTTGGAATGTCAACTTTTTAAAATGTCGTCATTCAACAGTTTCTCATTTAGGCGTTCGCTTTTCCGGCATGTCAAGTTTTGTGTGCCACCATTGCGCAAATAACCATTTAGGCAATTGACATTTCTGGCACGTCACAGTTCTTCATACCGGCATTTTGCAGTTATTTCATTCCGCCCGTTCGATTTTTGTCGCGTCGGAAATCGCTGCTAGTGGACTTGCAGTCCATGCACCGTGCGAACTGAGAGCAAGCCACTGTAACTAGCTGAAAAATCTATGATGCGTGCTGTGTGAGACATAAATGTTGTATTTATCCGCATAGTGTAAATAATAACAAAATAGGCATGTTTAAACGATAGCCTTCGCTTTTAACCAGTGCTTTCTTCCTATTTTTGATTGCCTTCATACGTAGGTCAGCATAACCTATGTGGACACCTCGAGAGGTTCTCAATCAAAAACCCTCATGCTCTTGGATTTCATCCTGACAGTCACGTAAGCATCACACATTACCTAAATACGGGAGTTGGTGATGCAACAGACCGTACAGTAACTCATTCCGGTCAAAAGTCGGCTGGTTTTAGTCAAAGAACCACGTCCAGCACACTCATCTTACGCAGACCGTGATGCGTCCTAACGTGTCTCTCAAAAACCGTGTCTGGAGGTACCGCGCACTGCTGGTTGACTTGGGGATAGCGAAATTTTGATGAACGACGCTCAATAAATTTTAAGAGAAATCGAGAGAAATTTCAGAATACTTCAACAGTTTGAATGCCCACAATAGTTTGGGGATGCAGCTGCAGCCTCCGAAAGAAATAGTTTGTTTGGCCCATGAAAACAGAGTCAATACGAGAACAATGACAATGCAGCTCACTCACATTCGAGGTTCCCTCCCAATGTTTACAGCGCTCGCCTTTTCCATAATTGGCGGATTCACCAGTCGCATGGCGGATTCGTGATAAATGTCATTCATATGGTGCCAGTTTACCTAGAGCTATTCAGCTGTGCTATGATACAAAATATGATAAATGGGAAGATGATGCGAAGTAACCCAACCCAATGGCGTCGGAAGCCGAACCAGGTCCCACTACCGAGTAATGGCCATATTTTGCTACGCCCCCCCCCCCCTGGCTTTTTTCCCGAACTAGCTGTCCTATTCCAGCGCATCGTGCGGTAATGAAAAGTCTCTAGGAGGCAGTTATAAAGCACGCACTTAAGTGTCCAGTTTGAATTCAAGTTGAGGGTCGAGGTCACTGGCAGATCAAGTCCGACCTCTGAACTTTTTTACGTTAACTTTGGGGGGGGGGGGACATGGCGGTCTTGGCATGACGTGAATTTACTCCAACAAACCGCGATATGATTTTCCTCAAAGAAATATCTCAAAGCCAGGAAAAGGTATTAAGAGAGTAGCTTAATTGAGATATAACCCCATTACACATGAAAGGTCAAGGTCACGTCAAAGAGCGTCGACATATGAATCTTCCCAGGTTCGTTATGCACGCATGTTTTCATACTATTTTAGGGTGAAATGCACTGGAAATGCTCCTTGATGTGTATTGAAATCATTTTTTGGGGGGTGAATTGAGTTCAGGTCAAAGTCCAGGTCATGTAACACATTTGAAATATTAGCACTTGGTCATGTAGCATGAATTCCAAACTATTTATTGCAAAACAGTGCAGTGTGAATGCTTATCAATGTGCATTCCGGTCATTTGGCAGTTCAAATATGGTCAAATTCAGCTAGCCACATTAATCCAACCCAGGGATTTTGATATATCCAAGGTTGTATTTCTAAAAATGTATTCGTAAAGATACTGACCTTGACACTTGAAACAACGCTATATGTGCGTTGGATTTTTGAAATAACTGAAAATGTTTATTTGAAGTTTTGTAAAAGCAGCAAATCTCATTGTTCGGAGGAACAATGAATAGTAGAGAGCAGTTTGAATCTAGTGTTTGAATCAGGAGACAATGGTCTTGTAAATCATATAATTTCCCTTCGTTTAATATATCGCTTCAGGCAGCTTGCTCAAAAACTACGTTTCGCTTCGACGTCATTTAAACATCATTTTCTCGTAACATGTGACACAATACATTTCTCCACACCGGTAAAGTAGGGGACGCATCTACGATGCATGCTAAAAGTTCGCTATTTACCTATTTATTGCCTTCTAAATTACCTCAAAAATAACAACTGGCAGAATCTGCTCACTTACATCTAATTGGGCGCGGGTTAACTAACGTGGTTGTCGTCTTTCCGGGGCTGCTTTATTCTTAAAAGTACGTCATTCCGAGCGAACCAGATTTTCTTTGAAGCTTAAGGCCTAATTGCAGAGCACAAACACAATGACTTAACTATATCTGCATCCCATATTTGAGGTGTGTGAGTGTTATGGGGCTCTTGTAATACTTCTTTATTGCACAACAGGCTCAGACAATAGATCTACATATGTCATGATTTCACGCACGTATATCTTCCTCCGTTATGCCTATATGCTTTACAGGTATATCGTGATATGTCATGCATGTTGAAAACGATAGCTAACTATCTCCGCGTTCTGAAGGCTTAGGCTAATAAAACAAGGGCTTAGATAATCAGATATATAGTTTTCCATCGGCAGTGGTCCTGTCAGCACCAACAGACAAATCATCGCTCACATCTTACGTTATGTCGTCATGCTGTATGTCATAATCGTATCATGATTTGTCATTATGATGGTTTGTCATGAGCTACATGCTCACAACCCACACCCGTTCTCTTCTTCTTCTGAGGCAGCCAAGAAAATTTCCGCTTTCCGCACCGTCGACCAAAACGACGGCACCCGAGTAGGCTCCGGCTCGGCACATCATGAAAACAAACGACGGCGCCCGAGTAGGCTCCGGCTCGGCACGTCATGAAAACAAACGCAAGACACCCAACATCCAAACGCACTTTGCGTCACATGTCGCCAGCCCGTGAGTGACGGTAACAGTCTCCTTGCATTGATTGTTTCACATTCCATCAATGCTCTTGAAAGAAGACGCTGAAAGTTCCGGGCACGACACCAAGAAGAAGCATGTGGGAAATTCCGCCTGTGACCAGACGCGCCACACAGCCACCATTCGCAGTGTTTATTGGTCGGCTGTCGCAACAGCTGGCGTCACTCAAGAAACCGACCTAACCTGGTCTAAAAACTTCCCAACAAGTCTTGTTCCGGTTCAACAGGCGTCGGCTTGTTGGCTTCAGTCACTTCCTCTGCAACTTCCAGCAGGTGGTCGTCATCCTCGTCGAGGCCCTCTTCGTCCAGTCCGTCCTGCTGCGGAAGGGACAGTCAACACAGTGTTAGAGACAGGGTGCATAAACCAAAACAAACAAGACCAAACATCGCGAGATGTTTACCAAAGCTAGGTGCGCCCAGTGATGTTGCAGTCTTTCCTTCTTGATACTGACACCGCCACTGAAATGCACGCTAGACAGTGCCATGACTTTCGAGGGCTTGGTACAATTTCAAGGTGAGCACATACATATGATCTCCCCTCTCCTCTCCTGATGACGCCATCCTTGCTGGGGTGGAGGCACACACGGGAAGTTTCGTCTTTATTTCGTACTCGCATAGGCAAGCTACGATCGGACACAACGAAGCAAGGCTGATAACAGAGTGCCGAAAGCGGCGGTAAGTATGATAGCCATGGTTATGGAGGTAGGGCAAACCACAATGTAAGGAAATGCATGATATTTTTATACAAAGTCTCCGAAGCTTACGCTTCGGAGTGTACAGTGCGAAACGTACAGGATGTGACCAACCTGCCGTTCTGAACTGACCAAAATGGGCTTGGATTCCGACACGTTCGTACATATTTCACACGACTGCGACACGGGACACTGCCATACAGCAGATGTGGGGCCGGGTCGCGGCGGCTGTGCGCTTACCTGGAAGGTGCTGGGCGTCCCGTACTGGAAGGCCGATCGAGACAGGTCGACCTCGATCGGGAAGTACTGGTGCTCCTTCATCAGGTCGTAACATTCCGAATGGTAGCTGGCGAATCCGCTGATCAGTCGCTGCGGTGAGATGTGACGTGAGACGGCAGTGAGATGTGACATGAGGCGGCAGTGAGATGTGACATGATACGGCAGTGAGATGTGACATGAGGCGGCAGTGAGATGTGAAGTCAGACGGCAGTGAGATGTGACATGAGGCGGCAATGAGATGTGACATGAGGCGGCAGTGAGATGAAGTCACGGCAGTGAGTGTGACATGAGGCGGCAATGAGATGTGACATGAGGCGGCAGTGAGATGTAACATGAGACGACAGTGGGATGTGACGTGACACAACAGAGAGATGTGACGTGTGACGACGGTGAGATGTGAGGTGAGACGACAGAGAGGTGTGACGTGGGACGAGAGGGAGGTAGGTGTGACGTGGGATGACGCAGAGCTGTGACGTGGGACGACTAAGAGGTGTGACGTGGGACGACAGAGGTGTGACGTGGGACGACAGCGAGGTGTGACGTGGGACGACAGGGGAGGTGTGACGTGGGACGACAGAGGTGTGACGTGGGACGAAGGGAGGTGTGACGTGGGACGACAGGGAGGTGTGACGTGGGACGACAGAGAGGTGTGACGTGGGACGACAGAGGTGTGACGTGGGACGACAGAGTGTGACGTGGACGACAGAGAGGTGTGACGTGGGACGACAGGAGGTGTGACGTGGGACGACAGGGAGGTGTGTGACGTGGGACGACAGAGGTGTGACGTGGGACGACAAGAGGTGTGACGTGGGACGACAGAGGTGTGACGTGGGACGACAGAGGGTGTGACGTGGGACGACAGGGAGGTGTGACGTGGGACGACAGAGGTGTTGTGGGACGACAGGAGGTGTGACGTGGACGACAGAGGTGTGACGTGGACGACAGGAGGTGTGACGTGGGACAGGGAGGTGTGACGTGGGACGACAGGGGGTGTGACGTGGGACGACAGGAGGTGTGACTTGGGACGACGGGGAGGTGTGACGTGGACGACAGGGTGGGTGTGACGTGGGACGACAGGAGGTGTGACGTGGGACGACAGAGAGGTGTGACGTGGGACGACAGGGAGGTGTGACGTGGGAGACAGGGGGTGTGACGTGGGACGACAGGGGGTGTGACGTGGGACGACAGGGAGGTGTGACGTGGGACGCAGGGAGGTGTGACGTGGGACGACAGGGGGGTGTGACGTGGGACGACAGGGGGGTGTGACGTGGGACGACAGGGAGGTGTGACAGAGATGTGGACGACAGCGGGATGGAGCTCAGGTGGCACGCGAGGTTGAGCGATGTTGACACATCACTTAAACATGTCAGTGAGTCTGGAGGTCACACGCAGAGTCAGCGCTCCAATCACGAAACGCAGCAACCCCACGCTGGGATAACTCAAGTTATGATCATCCAATGCTGTATACCTGACTATTTCGATGTCATTTCCTTCAAAAACACCACAACGCGTCTGATAGCAGCGACTGGGAGGGGCACATGTACCGTCTAGCCAATGTTCACCCCACGACAGGGGCAGGGTACGCGCGTCCAGACATGTCACCGTTCACATATGCTCAGAGCACTGTCGTCAGACATATTTGCTCCCTAGCAACAGCCAGAAGGGAACGGGCCACCGCCTGCGTGCGCGCTGAGTAACGCTGCGCTCCGCCGCGCCCACCTGCAGCTGGTACACGATGTCCTGCACGTGCTTCTGATCCAGCAGCTCCAGTTTGACCAGCACATCCGACCGGAGCCGAGCGAACCTGGGCAAAGGTCGGAGGGAGCCATCTCAAAGCCGGTGACGACGCCGAATGACGTCATATCATAGTCGGTGCGAGACGAGTGCCGTCACGTCCATGTACCTCGGTATGCGTTGAGACTGAGACACATGAACTTCGGTATCTAGCTATACCGAATGGCCGCACGTCCCCCTGGGCTGCCGTGTGTGATGACAAGCACAGATATGGAGGCAGATACTGGCAGCAAACATCCAGAGCGCGCCGGCAGATAATGGCAGCACACATCCAGAAACACGCCGAAGTCAGCGTTACCGCAGGACCCGGCCAGATTTTATGCACTATGATTTTAGAACCTCGCATCACTGTCATGGGAAGCTCTGAAGACATCAGAAACTCGATCTAAATATAGTCAAAGTCCGCGCACAACGAGATAAATAAAGTTACTACTGGGCAAGCAAGCAGTAGGCTGCACTCAAAAGAATCAGAATAAACCAAGGCTGTAGGGCGCATCATGCTCTAGTAGGCTGCGCGTAGTACTTCCCCTCCCCCTCAACCCCCTAATTCTGCAATCATCGTTCGGGAAAGGCAGACACTGATTCCCGGTTGGTAAGCAAGCTTTAGCAACCACCGCACCGTCCATTGTCCTGCGTGCACCCGCACCCGTCCAGCCTGACCTGGCCCTGGCATCTTGGCGGCAGCGTAACACTAGTCGGTACTCGTAGTTGCCCGTCTCCACGCGGTACATGGGCTCCTGCAGCGCGGCGTAGCTGTACTCCTCGTCGTCCATCTCCTGCGGTCAGGTCATGGGCCAACTGGTCAAAGGTGGGTGAGGTCAGAGGTCCGTCATTTAGGGGCTAGCCGCTCAGGGATCAGATGAACAGAATGGTCTGGTCAGAGGTGAGGTGGGCAGAGGTAAGAGGTCATCAGATCAAAGGTGAGATGACCAACTAGTCCAAGGTCAGCTGATCAGTGGTCGACTAGTCAGGGTCATATGGTCAGAGGTCAAATAATCAGAGGTCAGTTGGTCAGAAATCAGGTTGGCAGCAGTCATATGAGCGAGGGTTAGGCGGCTTTATGTCATATAGCCAATAGTCAGAAATAGAGTGATCATATTTCAGATTTTCAGACGTCAGACTTCAGACGTTTAACTTCAGACGGAAGCTACCTTATCAGAGGTTACCTGTCAAAAGTTACCTATCAAAAGATGTCTAATCAGAAATTATTTGATCAAAGATAATTTAATAAAGGTAAGCTGATCAGGGGTCAGTTTGTCACATGACAGGAGACCAAAGGTTAGATGGTAAAGGCCAACAAGTTAAGGGTCAGCTGTTCATTTGGTCCGAGACTGGCTGATCAGCTGTCAGAAGAGTGTCAGAGATCATATGCGCGAGGATGGGACAGACAGAGCACAGCTGGTTAAGGGTGAGACTAGCAGGGGCGGTTTGGTCCGCGGTCAGTTGGTTAGAGCTCGGCCACCAATAGGTGTGTAGATGACACGGTTGGGGGTAAATAAAACAAATGCGACATCGTTATGGGACAGTCTTCACCGCGCGCTGGCCGAGAGGACGTCCGTCGAACCACCTCTACCTACAGCGGGCCAATCCAATTTTTCGGGCCCGATGGGCAGAGGACTGCCACGGCAGCTAGAGCGAGACCGCGTGGTTGGCACAGCCTTATTCCCACGGCAGGGAGATCGCTGACCAATTGCTGCCATTTCCCGGCTAGGAGTCGGTCGGGGAAAAGCCTACCGGATTCAGAGCCCACCATCTGCACCAACGAAGTGGTCATATCCTGGGGTTCACTGGGCAAATGATCATTGGTCTTGCTTAGAAAGATTAGAAGCTGTATAAGAAATCCCAGCATCTTCGATCACGTAAGCCCAAGACATATTCATAATAGAGTTGACAACCAGACCTTGGCGTGGCGTAAAGCTACAACGGACTGCGAACTAGACCCTGCGTGAAGTTCGCACAAGCGGCACGCTGAACGGTGTACGGAAAACGCGGCAATGCAGATCGTGTCTATCCTCTCGCCTGCAGTCTATCCTGAGCGTCAAAGTCAGCATCACCTTGACTTTCAAGCAGAAGCTCAGATACTCAAACTTGGTGTCCAGGTACTTCTGGATGGTCAGCCGTGTATCCGGGATGGCCTTGTGTAGGTAGGTGCCGAGATCGCTCAGAATCTGAAATACACCAGCGGGTCATCTGGAATGTTGGTGCGCAGATCGTAGCAGAATTCGGGGTTAATGTCGCTTGCGGATATTAACGAAAACCCCTGTCCCCAAAGGGCAGACAGTGCTTAAAAGAGTTGTCAAGGCATCGTTTTAGTACAGACCCCGATGAGGTTCATCATTGCAAGATTGCGTGCTAGTCTTGAAGCGAGTATGTGACAGCCTGAATATCGCAGACAAAGAATAAACCCACAGACTAGTGGCATTGCCGACATTTGAAAAACATAATAGAAGCTGGATGTTTTAAAACGAATATAACACACACACACACCACACATACACACACAACACACACACACACACACACACACACACACACACACACACACACACACACACACACACACACACACACACACACACACACACACACACACACACACACACACACACACCACACACACACACAACACACACACACACACACACACACACACATACATATATATATATATATATATATATATATATATGTATATATATATATATATATTCATACATGCATAGGAAAAACGCCCCAGCTAAGATTGCACTGGGAGATAACGGCGATGCGCTGAGCCCCTATGCTGCATCGGCGTGATGATGGCATACGGCGAGAGAGAAGGCAACATATGCTGATGGCATACGGGGAGAAAGAAGGCAACATGTGATGATAGCATACGGCGAGAGAAAGGCAACACGTGATGGTTGCATACGGTAAGAGAGAGGGTAACATGTGATGATGGCATATGTTGAGAAAGGAGGCTTTATATGATGACGGCATACGGTAAGAGAGGAGGCTTCGTGTGTTGTTCCAATGCACGTTTAGCGCTTATGAACGAAAGACAAAATTCATTAGAGCCCCGAGGTCTAAAAAGCCTAAATGTAACGCTGCCATCACTGCTGGTGGCAGAGAACACTCGCTGCGTTCACATCTTTATTTCCATTGCAACGAATATCTGAATTACGACACACGCAACGACACGAGCGGAGATTGACAATCTTCCATGAAAAGCCGAATACCAATATTCCTTGAAACTCATAGTTAAAGTTAGTTACGGGTGCTGTCAACGAATTTATCCGTGATTAAGGTTAATTGCAGGGGAGCCCACACCAACTATGAGAAAACAAGGAGCATCCAAAGCCGTGCAGCTCTATGCTCATGCCCACCGGCTTCAGCGTGCGCAGGTAGCTTGACGCCGTTCTTCTCCATGATGCGGTGCGCGTCACCGAAGCTGGTGAACACCTCGCTGGCGCGCGGCTGCGGCTCACGCGCGCCAATCACCGAGAACGTGTCGCCGAACGCTGCCAATGGGAGATAAGCTAACGTCACGGGCAGCCAGTCATCGCTTTCGATTCGCCGAACACTGCCAATGAGAAACGGGTATATCTCATCGGGAACCAATAACAGCGCTTGTGTCGCCGGAAACCGCTCATGTGAAGTGGGCAGGCGATTAAAGGGAGTGCTCCACGTCTGTATGGGGGGTTTCAACTGAAACAGCCATTTTAAAGATCATTCGGTGCAGTTCATAGCCTTCCCCTCCTTATGACCCAGCACCCTCGAATTTCCGAGCTACACGCCGGCGAAAATGTGCAGAGTACTCCGCCGCGCGGACTATTTCAAGGCCATTCAGGCATGCAAAACGCCATAGCAACGCAATTGAAATCCTGCCATCCTACAGGTCATGCGGTGTTCAAGGCCAAACATATTATAATCGTCGAGCCGTTCAAATCTGGCATCTGTGTGCACGACTTCCTAATGTTATGGACGTCCATTGGTTGTGCATCAATATCGAACAATCTGTGCAAGTTTTAATCACAAATCGCGTTTTGTGCTATATAATGTTAGAACTTGGGATGATTGCAAGTGATTGCAGCAGTAAGACATGTGATCGAATAACGTACTAGCACCATAACCGAGTATGTGAATACAAATAAACACCCTAACCGCACGGATAGATATGTAAGAATACATTGAGAAAGGGCCAAACACGAGTACATAACACTACTTGGCTCAGCAAACACTTTCAGCGCCGTGCTACCATCTGTCGGCGATTTTGGAGTACTACAAACGCGGGCGGCGATTTCGCGCGGCTGGCTTGGCAGCACCTCAACATCATACAAACGTTCCATGACGCAATGAAAAATTACGTATCTAGGAGCATGTTTAATAAACAAAGTAATTTCGCTTTCTAGCACGGTCTTTGCCACTTGAAAGTAATCCAATAATCATTAATGAGCTCATTTCGTGTTTTTATGCGCGTGCCAATGCAGGTGGGAGAGCCATGGCTCAAGCCTTAAGTCAGCTGTTTGTCGACCGGCTCGTACCCAGGAGATGGCAGCAACTGGAGACTGGTGTCCCTGCCGTAGGATTAGAGCTGTACCAACCAGCGTCAGTGGCGGTGGGCTACAGGCATGGTCTGTCTTTGCATGGACCCCTCGGCCCGGTGGCATTTCCCGAGGGCACGGTATCCATCCATGACACCAGAGCAGTTCTCTAATTCACCGGCCCGAAGAAGCGAGATAGCCCCCCCGTGAGCACAAGTGCCACCCGGGGAGTCTCAGATAGCCCCTGCGTGAGCAAAAGTGCCGCCTGGGGAGTCTGAGATAGCCCCTGCGTGAGCACAAGTGCCACCTGGGGAGTCTGAGATAGCCCCTGAGTGAGCAAAAGTGCCGCCTGGGGAGTCTGAGATGGCCCATGTGTGAGCACAAGTGCCACCTGGGGAGTCTGAGATAGCCCCTGAGTGAGTAAAAGTGCCACCTGGGGGTCTGAGAGCAATGTGTGGTCAAGACTGTCCCGACGATGGCAAATGACTGGCGAAGCTTGGACGGTCCTAGGTAGCGTCCAGACAGATATAAAGGAAGCGTGATCCTACCACACATGCACTCATTCTCTCATTCACCACTCACTCATCAGCATACTCAAACATTGAGGGACACGGCCGCTCATACATGAGGAACTCCGACACAAGTAGACACATTATCGTCAATAATACCCACAGTCCCGCTGATTTACACCATCAGATCCACCGGCAGCTTCACAAACAGTCCCGCTTGCGTGAGGAACTAGCTGATGGAGAAATGGTAAGCCCTGACGTTAAACTGCATTACCAGAGCAAGCTATCAACTGCATACAAGGCTGAATAGAAAGCTGTTCGTGATTTCATATCAAGAAATCATGGTCCTAAAAATCTTCTAGACAAAAGAAAGCTAATTTTTTTTTTTACAAAAGTCACAAAACATCGAGTGTAATCATGACGAATAGCCTGTCCAAAAATCACTCAGCAGTGAAAAAGGCCGATGCTGTCTATGAGTTTAAATGCTCCGTTGCCAACTGCGCGCGCCTACCAAACTGGAACATCGGTCACAACCACCGCAACCAACTACAACCACCATACATCACACTGCTACACTGCCATCACATCACGCTGTTATCACACTACTACAAGCACACTTTCAAGGCGAATGACAATGCACCTCCGGAATGGTGCACCAAAGCGGCATGTGACATTAGCCTATGAAAGGACACTATCTTGACCCGAATTCGAGGAATATGCACCACTGGGTGCAACCAAGGAGTGAAAGTAAAAGTGCCAGAAGCTGTTTATACCTGCGGCAAAGTTCCAACAATCAACCGGCAGATATATGTGTGGGACACACTTAAGTTGTGTGACGGGCAATCTCTGACACCTATAAATAGGTCTTAAGGGGGAGGTGAGGCAGAGCCCGCTAAAACCCAGGCCGGCGTTAGGCCAGTTTGCTCATCAAACCAGGGACCCATTTTGTGAGCAAGAGAAATGCAGCAATGCAGTTTTGAATCGACGGCGACTACAAATGTTTCGTGAATTGTCGTTACGCATAATCATGTTTTTGCTTTCTGGCAATGTTGGCAGGACCAATATAAACGCTACAAAGTAATACCCCTAAGCACTCTCCTTAACAATTTCTTCCGATATGGGGAAACAATTTATTCAGACACATACACCACACACACACACACACACACACACACACAACACACACACCCCACACACACCACACCAACACACAACACACACACCACACACACACACACACACCCACACACACACCAACACACACACACACAACACACACACACACACACACACACACCACACACACACACACACACACACACACACACACACATATATATATATATATATATATATATATACGCATATGCATGTATGCGTATATCACCAGCACTTCTGTATTACGCACACAGATATCACCTACATCGCCCAGTAATTGCTACTTGCTCTGTAATCAACTCTACGTGATCCCGCATGACTTCACCTCAATGTCTGGCATTCAAGTGTTCAACACAAACTAACAGGATCAGTGATGAATTTTCAAGCAGCTGCGCACTGGCATAGACCAGTCATAACAACGTTAGTCATGCAAATCTGTCAAGAACGACACTGCACGAATACTCATTTCCTCGCAGGGGCAGAATTGTTTTGCGATTGTGCATGCGGGGACGTTCACAATCTCGAAGATCCTAAGGTTTATGAATATGTTTTCCGTTCTCAAAGAATATTTTGAAGATAAGCCACAGTGTGGAGGACATAACCGAAATTATCTTTCACAGGGCTTTCAATGCACGTACTTACCTTTATGGATACGACAAAGATCAAAGAAGGCCCTCAATACTTTCTTTAAGTGCTCTACGACTCCGTGGTACATTTTCTCAGTGCGCTCTAGTTCCTCCAACCGCTTAACCTGCAAACACAGTTTGGAAACATTCAAGTCATGTGCTGAAATTAATGCAGCCATCTTGCAACAACCCGAGATTGGTGAGCTTAGAAATCGTGCACAATATGTTACACAATGCACGATGCTGCACAAATAAGCGTACAATAACACTGCGTCTGCAGCATCACATCTCCCGCTTATACATCCCAATAGGTTGTCTGTTGCCTGCGGGTATGAAACGCGTCAACTGAACCCATTACGTGCACCACGCGGGGCTGTCACAACTTAGCCGAACGCATCAGCATCACATGATGCATCATAGCCTGTTAAGAGGTCCTTGCTATACAGTTCGTGGGATACAAACCGTCCAAAAGTCGGCAAAACACTTAAAACGCCAAAATATATGCCCTTTTCAGAAGTTAGTTCGAGCTCCAACGCCCACCCACCCACCCCCCCAAAAAACTCATTGGGTCCGTGCGTGCTCACCAGTGAGTCGTTGCAGAGGATGGCGCGCGAGAGACCTAGCGCGTCCGCCGTGGAGGCACTCATGTTCTCCACCAGCCGGTGTTTCACCTTCTTGAGGATGATGTCGAGCGACTTGCCCTGCTTCGGGTCAGCGTGCAGCTTGTTGTAGCTGACCGTGACGTCACCCTGGGGGATCAGCGGCGTTACCCCCATGAAGGCTCGCCTGTGTAACGTTCGGACGCCCGCCCACACAGATTGCTTGAAAAAGTAGCTGGCTAAGAGACTGGCAAGGCCGAGCAAATCAACCGAAGAAATTGAGAATTTGCACTTATTTACCTTTTTAGTTGTCGCACAAGTTTTGCCAGACGCCCTAATATATAGAATGGAAGGACATGGGTAGTAATACACTGGACTATACTCCTATGTACTACCATGGTCCAGCTGTCAATTTGGGCCACAGCGCCCTGTTTTCGAGGTCACATTCGATGCGTCGATGATGGCCGTTTTCGACCGATCACTGGCTTATTGTCCAGTCTGGCAGTTTTGAAATATGTTAGTGAGTTCTGACCGATCTAGTCACCCACACCGTGCAGTTGTTTTCGCTCGTCGGCAACTACTTTGTCCGCTATGGCTCGGATCAATGCCTAAAAGCGTCTCAAAACGAGTCCAAAACGGACTCGTTGATTTGCGCACGAGTGTGTCATCGTCTGCACACATCTACTCTCGCTGTTGCCAAGACGATCATTCGTTCTTTCCTTTGTCAAAATTGACTAGTCTCATGTCGCTGCGACGCTAGGCCGTCGAGATCTGCACCCAGTTCCAACCCGTATGCTTGAATGTTTTTGAAATTCAAAAACTTCGCACACCATTTACTTGCATATTAATCGGACGGAGCCAGTGAAATTGTGTTCTCAGTGCAATGCTGTGGAAAGAAACCTACCTCAAAAAAGCCTCCAGGCAAATACATACACATCTTTATGTAAGAACTTCCAGTGGACCGGGCTTAGATATCGAACACTGCGTGAACCTGCGATGAATGGTTGCAAATATGGTCGCTCTGGAAGATGAGACGGCCGCGTAGAGTCAGCTGGGCCAATCAGGCTGAAATATTGATATCATATGACAAATCGGATCGTGCCCACTGCACCGATCGACACCAACCTTGACCGCCTGGATGATGCGGGCCACCTCGACCTTGGTGCGACCTTTGACCGAGGTGCCATTGACGCCAATCAGCTCGTCGCCCGACTGCAGCGTACCGTCCTTGCCGGCAGCAGTGTTGTCGAACACCTGACGGCGGGCGGCGAAGACGTTATGAAGGGACGCGTGGACAACAGGAATACAAAAAAATGGAGGCCAGCAATGCAAGGGTGGGTACTGCAAGGATCACGCGTTAGGGTTGTAGGATTCACTACAATCCAGCGCGAAGTGGTAAAATCATATATTTTCTTGCAAAGCATGCATGAATGCATGTCATCTGATGGAAAAATGAAGTGAGATGCCGCAGTACTTGATGTGTTTCGCCGCTTACGCGGACAATTTCTCTTCGTACGCCAATGCCGGGAAAGTTTTCAAATGTGATTCTTCTTAGATATGCAGGTACAGGTAAGTTTTCTCAATGCATAGGCAGTAGCAAAGGACATCTCAATGCCGCTACTACTGGACTGGAGCTGTATTTTGCCATATGACTTTAACGCGCGCCCGGGTGACCGGTTGAATACCGTTCGCTCGGATGGGGATCAATTTAACCACTCTGAAATCTCAGAAAATAAGAGACCTAGGCACACCAAATTCACAACTCGTGTTGGCCTCCACGTGAATGGATTGTGTCGAAATTTTGGTCTCCTAGGATCGTGGCCTTTCGGTCAAATAAGGTCAAACAGGGTCAAATATGGTCAAACTTTAGACTTGGTGTCCCCAGACCCCAGGGCATAGATATCTGATCTAAGCAAATATTTCTGGTGCTCATTCAAGGTAGGTGACCTTGTTTGACCTTTCAGAGGTCATGGTGACCAAATCATACAAGACTACTTAGAGTTGTGGATTTGAATATGCGTCAAAGATTACGCTAGGTAATGTGTTCCTAAAAAAATGTTGACTTGTGTCATTTTAGGCAAGTGGCCTATCCAGACCCTTCAGATGTCTATGGAAGATGTATAATGCGGTTCCTGTAATCAATAGATTCAAAATGGGTACCAGAAACTACCCCATACAGCAAGCTCTGCAGTAATAAACAGGTCGGCTTTGACCCAGGTCCTAACCTTCATACCGACCCTAGGTCAATAAAAGTTGCTTTATTCAATTATTGTGCTGCCTTAGAAACTATCTCAGAGATGCATGGCATCGCCTAACACTTCGTCGTTGCATCCGATTAAACTATTCCCTAGAAATTGCCTTCGCTGAATCGATGACCTATCTTTGACCTGCCGTAGGTCAACGACCTGATAAGGTAAATCTAAATTAGTTAAATCAAACGACTTTTCCTTTAATTTTTTATAGCTATGCAAAGTTTTGCGCAGCTACTGCGCGCCGTTCGGCAACCATTTTGGACAAAAACTTTCGGGAGGGAACCAAGTTGGCCCAAATGGGGCGCGTGCTAAGGAACGCAAGTTTCTTAAATGTTTCTGTGCCCTAGCACATGAAGCCCAGACGCGACTATGCATGTGCTGCAAACCCGAACATTCGTGGATGAAGAGTTGAAGAGTATGATCGTGTCTATTTCAATTAATTTTAGGAAACCTGCTCGCTGTCCGCATGCACTCCACTCCACCCAAATCATAGGTGGCACGAAAATACAATACACTTGCAGCGCCTGACGCCCTATGGCCGTCGGTGATGGGCGCACGAACCGCATTTTCAAAACGCAGTCGTGTAACTGTGAGATTAAACAGCATCCCCGCCGCCATTGCGACGCCACGAACAATGGCGATGGAGATCTTTGGCGTTTGCAGGTTTTTGATCGCGCTATCTGACGCAGAAGGCCGCATGTGTGCCTGTTGGTGCAGCGTGACTTGAGCACTACCCGTAGCGAACGCGATGTAAAGCAAGGGTAGTGAGGAATAGATTTGCTGGAGCGGGAGGCAAAATGCTATAGCAATCTGCTTATAAGGGTAGATGATTAAATTGTAGCAGGTCGTTGGATATGTGGTCAACATCATCCGGCAGCCTTGGACCGATTCCGTTCGCGGCCTTGAGAGCATCCACATGTTCGTTTTCCCTAGACATGGTGCTAATCTTAACGTTGCACCGTTGGTATGGAATACATACCTTTAGATATTCTTATTTCTGGGGTATCGCATACTGCCGCTCGGCAAGGTCACGATTTCAGGCTGCTTAGATGCTACGCGCGTTCTTACCTGAACCACGTACAAGCATGGGCAGAGAGGTGCGCCTCCCCCGATGCTGATGCCTATCAGATTACTGTCGTCCTTCGTCAAGGTCACGCTACCCGTGGTCAGGGTCATTCCCCTGAAAAACACGGTGCAATCAGTCAGCTGGCTCTTGATGCGAGCAGCAGCCCGCTTCGCCGGCTTCCGTCGCCGTTGATCCTGAGGCGGAGGTTCTGTCGGAGTTCAGCGCTGCTGTAGACGGACGCAGAAATCATTGCCGGGGAGCTGTACATAGCATGAATGCTGTTGGAACACCCAGCTCGTGGTGACACGGTCGGGATTCAGGGCGGTCTGGGCCCTGGATCCGGTGTATCCGTTCTGCGCAATGGTTAGTGGATGTGCCGCATTGTTTTATGGTTGAGCTCCCTGCGGTGTGATATTATGCATTACGACAACCTGTACCTAGGGAGACGTCTGTAGTGAGGAGGCGATGGGGATGTTTGCATAACAATGTCGATCTTTAGTGTAGGTTTGTACAAACTTGTTTCGTAGATGTGCGCAGATACAGGGGCAGATATGTCGGAAACGGGGACCTACATTATCTGTTGAATACACATTTGACACAGACAATCTGAATTGCAAAAAAGGTTTGCAAATATGCATTGCTTTCTCAGAAACTTTACCAAACATGCACTTTATTTGCCATGCATGGCTTGAATGGCACCATGACGCATCAAACAAGAATTACTAGTCACATCCAGAAAAAGACACCATGGTTACTTAGACCTGTTGCATGAGCTTCCCATCGGGTCACCGAAATTTGCTCGCCAACCCGAGCCCGTATTTGGGGTCTCACGTTCTGGCCTGGATGGTGCGGAATATGTCCATGATGCCGACGTGCCTGAGGCTCTGTCGAGATCGGCTGCCACTGTCAGGCCATCGCCAGACAGCAGGTCAGATCACCGCTGGAGGACATATCCGGTCACCGCCGGAGGACATGTCCGGTCACCGCCAGGGGACATGTCAGGTCACCGCGGAGGACATATCCGGTCACCGCCAGAGGACATATCAGGTTGCCGCCGGAGGACATCTCAGGACATCGCCGGATGACGTATCCGGTTACCGCCAGAGGGTACGTTAGGTCGCCCGCGGAGGACATATCCGGTCACCGCCGGAGGACATATCCGGTCACCGCTGGAGGACATATCCGGTCACCGCCGGAGGACATGTCGGTCTCAGAGTGGGACCGGACGCCTCAGACACTAGCGAATGCGATATACCTACAGTCAGCCCTCAGGCACGCAACGCAATCTATAATCAGGGCGTACTCTTCAGGCATACCAGACATCAAAGGGGAACAGAAACATTGGCCCTCAATTGGCGAATAGCCTCACAGTCTCACCGTTCACAGCCTCACAGTCTCACCGCTCATAACCTCATAGTCTCACCGCTCACAGCCTTACAGCTCACAGCCTCACAGTCTCACCGCTCACAGACTCACAGTCTCACCGTTCACAGCCTCACAGCCTTACAGCCTTACAGCTCATAGCCTCACAGTCTCGTCGCTCACAGTCTCACAGCCTCACCGTTCACAGCCTAAAAGTCTCACCGCTCACAGCCTCATAGTCATACCGCTCACAGCCTCATAGTCTTACCACTCACAGCCTCACAGTCTCACCGCACACAGTCTCACCGTCTCACCGTTCACAGACTAAAAGTCTCACCGCTCACAGCCTCATAGTCTTGCCGCTCACAGCCTCACAGCCTAAAAGTCTCACCACTCACAGCCTCATAGTCATACCGCTCACAGCCTTGCAGACTTTCCGCTCGCAGCTTCAAAATCTCACCGCTCACAGCCCACGGTCTTACCGCTCATAGCCTCACGGCCTCCAAGTCTCACCGCTCACAGCCTTAGTCTCACCGCTCACACCCTCACGGTCTCATAATCTCATCGCTCATAGTCTCAGTCCCACCACTTACAGCCTCGCAATCTCACCGCCAATAGCCTCACAGTCTAACCGTTCACAGCCTCACAGTTTCACCGCGCACATTCTCACAATCTCTTTGTGCACAGCCTCACAGTCTCACCGCACACAGTCTCAGTCTCACCGCTCACAGCCCCACGGTCTCATCCCTCACAACCTCACAGCCTCACTGCTCACAGCCTCACAGTCCACCGATCGCAGCCTAACAGTCCACATGTATCTCTGAGCTCCATGCCAGACATGGGGACGCAACAGAGGCCTCCATCCGACGCAACTCCACTAACGTAAAGCTTCTTGTCCGACAATGCTGACACAGTGACGTATTGTTGACACACTTAGCGCATCTACCGTTACACCCTGCGCCTGATACAAATGCAATTTTTCCGCGAACATTGCAAATATACCACAACATAGCTCCTGACAACACCGCTGACAGATCGACACATATTTGTTGCCGACCACAGCTGACATATGCATCGCGCTGACAGACATGTTGTCGCTGTATGTAGCTGACATACTGACACACGGCTCGTCACTGGATACAGTTGCCGTACACCTTGCTACTGCATACACACGCTCGGCTTCTCACCGGGAACAGCTGGCATGCGGCTTATTACGAACACCACCTGACACGCTCACGCCGGCGTGCAGCCAGCCGTCGGACTGACACAAATCGGAGTACGCAGCAAGACCGGCGAAGACCAGGCGACCGGCGCGGGTGCTGGGAGCGGCACGACACGCAGAGACCCGGCGACCGTTGTAGGTGCTGGGAGCGGCACGACACGCAGAGACCCGGCGACCGGTGTAGGCGCTGGGAGCGGCACGAAACGCAGAGACCCGGCGACCGGCGCGGGCGCTGGGAGCGGCACGACACGCAGAGACCCGGCGACCGGCGCGGGCGCTGGGAGCGACGCAGGGGCTCGCCGCAGCTGCGCCGGCCGCCGTGACTCGTCGCCAGGTGGCGACAGCCGCCGCCGGTGCCGGAGCCCAAACAACACGTGGCAGGTCCGAGGCCGGCCGAGCCAGGGGTGAGTGGGTGGTGAGGCGCAACTCGGGGGATGATGGACGATGGAGGGTGGACGTTTGTGGGTGCTGGGGTTCGAGCTGGGCTTGCCACGCAGTCGTCGAACCCTCATGCCAGGCCCGGGGTTAAGGCCCGTGTCCCGACGATGTTAATGTGGCCTGTTTTTGTACCAAAGCGGTCGCTCACTGCACTCAATCACATTTTTGCAGGCCTCGTGCAAGTGTCAACGTTGACAGGGGCAGATGCAGCAGCGCGCGCGGGGCAGGCGTGGGGGACGAGAATCATTGCCGCACAGGGAGACCTCAGCACCCTCCATGTCCCCATCGACAGGACAGGAGTACTCTTCAGCCTCGGCATGGACTGTGTACCTCGCGAGGCGACGGCGCCGTGTGTGGGTCCGTCGTTTTTCTTCGCTGTGATTCATCCGGAGCTGCTGTCACCCAGAGGCGGGTCAAGAGTGGTAGAAAGATAAACATCAGCTAGCCAACCCTAAGAGCGTCTTCTATAACAAGTAAAGAGAGCCACGCGATCTGTTGGGGGATATTGAACCGACCAGATCAGCTTAGGCTCCCTGGACGGGCCGGCCCGCCGGAGGGTCAGCAGCCTCCGCCCCTGCACTCTCGGCAGCCGCTCACCTCTGGTCTTCGCCCATGTTGGCCCGTTCGACCTGAGCACGTGGGTGCACCATGGCGAGGCCAGCCGACACTGACGGGCTGTATCCGGGTGATCGAGCCACTAGGGGCCGCCCTCCGCACCACCGCCAGAGCAGCGGCGCACTGGGGGTGCGCGGTGTGCGGCGCCGGCGGCACGCAGATCCAACACCTGCCGCCCCCGTCGCCAGTGGCGCATGCAGGGCGGGTGGCGGGGGGATGGGGGAATGGCAATACCGGTGCACTGGGGAGGGGGGGGGGGGAGCAGCCTTAGAACACCTCGCTGGAAGCGACACTGGCCTGAATGCTCGCCCGTCGTGGCAACGCGCAGTGGGCGTTGCTTAGTGTCGCCCGTGCACAGTATCGGCGACAAACCGATTGCATGCGCGGCTGCCGGCTCGCTGCGATAACCTCGGCTGTCTCCCAACCGAGGGTTTCGCCGCAGACAACATCGCGATGGAAGATGCCCCACGGCGTTTTTGGAGCTGTGCTCATGTTGGCGCCGGACTGCGGGCCAGGCGTTGATGTACCGCTGACTGGTGCACCAACGAGGAACGACGCAGAACTCAAACGGTCGGCCAGTCCAGTGCGAGTGAGCATGACGCGCAGCAGAAGGATCTCTAAATCCGTGGGAGGTGCTGAGGAAGCTCTGCATGGTCACCCCAAAACAGAACAAAACTAAGCCTTTGTGGATTCGGAGTGCCGATCGCACCCTTGAAACAGAGTAGAATCCAGTCGGTCAACCTCTTCCCCCCCCCCCCCCCCTTCCTAGAACTGCACAGAAGACTGCGCCTGTGGCTGGGCGGAGAGGCAATATCTGGACACAGCGGACGTGTATGCTACCTACCCGGCGCCAACCGTGCAGCGAACCACGGCCGCGGTGTGGGGCGTGGGGCATGTCATCAGCCGGTGACAGCCTGGCCGTAAATCTACTGCCAGCGCGGGCAAACGTGACATGTTTGCTCCCGTTATGTGGCACCTCAGTCCGACGCGTGACTGATAGGTATAAAGACACCACCAACTTTAGGAGGACGAATGGGTATGCACGGCTATTATGTGAGGTAGTGTTACTAAACGTCTGGCAGTTTGCTCATATCAGATGTGTTCGCGATTAGGGTATATCACCGACCGGTTTTAAATAGAAATACTTGCAATCGAAATCAATACGTGCAATTGAATACATCGAAATGCCAGCAAAGTCCGCGCCGAAAGCATACGTAAGTCGTGAAATTATTGGACAAACCGTCGTAAGCTGAAACATCCCCTCCTGTATGAATCACTACGTGCTCAAATAGCAGGGGATCTCCGTCTACTATCCCGTGAATTATGACTTTCGTCCTTCTATAAGACAGGGCAATGCTCCCTTGCCGACCACCATAGTACACACATGGGTTGCCGGTGTGTTGCCACGGGCACCAGCTCACATGCGGTCCTCCATGGCGCGCCAGTTGAGCGGGGTGTCGGCAGGCGCTGACTCGTCGCCGTCCGGGTCAAAGCCAGGCAGCAGGTGGTAGAAGTGGGACATGCACGCAGGCTGGCCCGCATGGGAGGAGGCAGCGTTGCGGGACCCGACGGCGCCGGCGAAGCGCGCCTGAAAGCAAAGTAGGGCATTGCGAGGCCGGGAGGGACAGATAGGCGTCCACACTTGGTGGGGCGCCGGCGAAACGCGCCTGAAAGCAACGCAGGGCATTGAGAGGCTGGGAGGGACAGATAGGCGTCCACACTTGGCAGCACATTGGAACGCGAGAATGAGAAACATGTTGAGGTAGTCGCCACACCCTTGTCATGCCTGCGTCATCGCTCCGTGCGTGGCGGTGTCATTAGTCCTATTTATTTGCTGGTGATGCACCAGGGGGATGCTACAGAGATGGAGGTGGACTCGGATCTTGTGCCCCGTTGAGTGACGATTTGTCCATCACGAAGTGCAGCACGGGCTCTTAGTCAGAGCCATGCAGGTCGCGTTTAGCTACTACTTATTACTTGCAGGGTATATTTCGTAGCAACACTTATCGAGGCGATCGGTAACATAAGTGAGATGTACATCTCGGGTCCCAGCGCCGGTAATCGGTGGACGGGGCGAGCTGGTTACCTCAGGGCTTAGTGAACCTGCCGGCTCGTGGGCTTCAGCTCCGTGTTGTCTATCCCTGCTCCCTCCCTTTTACCCGCATTTCCGTTCCCGCACCCTCTCTGTTCCTCGTCCTCGTTTTATCGGGGCCGTGCCCCCTTGCCACCGAGCAAAGTACAATTTAAAACTACACAATTCGGTGGCTGATCCAGCTCCCTGTCATCCCTGTGTATCGCCATAGGTTCATTTTTGCTAAGTGCCAAATGCGTGGCGCGGAAGACACAAAATAATTTCACCAACCTTGACTTGCGTCGCTGCGTGTCGGTTCCTATTTCTCAGTTCATCTAATTTATGTTTTGTGGGGGTTTGAGGCAGTGGTCGTTGGATTTCATTATGTGTTTGAAGATTTTGTGCGGTATGCACGAAAGCTAAATAAGTGTATTGTGCACGATGCTGTTTGTGTGTGCGGCAGCCATACGTAAACCTGTTGGTAATGTTGAAGGCACAGGTTTTTCTCCATGATTTTAGTGTAAGGCGGCATCGGGCCGCTAGTTGCAGGAAGCTGAGTGCTTTGCCTGCTGTCTTGCATTATGCTCGATTGTGTGTGTTGTGTTTCTATGGCCGCGTTTGTAAAGACATGTATGAACCTGGTGGTACAAAATATACCATATTATTAATATGTTGCAAAGTTGATGCATCTCTTCAATTGATCCTGACACCTTTCAGATAACTAGCCTCTGTTTTAATTTCTTGTTTGAAAGCATTTTGAGGCATGAAATATTAGCGTGGCATAAAGGACAGCTAGCAAACGTTAAAAGGCTGTGAATATTTATAGGATTGGGTTGCAACCCCATCGGATTACATATTATTGTTGTTGGGGACTGAATCCCATGGATAGTTCCCATGATCCCATGGATAGTAGATTGAAGGATAGTTCTTCCCTTGAAGGCTGATGATAATTAGAGCACTCTACTTTTTTGCGTAGATACGCCAGGAACCTGCCATGAAATTGTCAGAGACAGGTACCTAAGAGGGAAGCGTGGGAAGAGTCTGCGTGTCTGCAGTCCCTACAGTGAGAAGAACTGCCAGAAGACTGTGTTACTGTGAATAGATATTGGACAAGCATCTGTGCCCCAAGCCACCAATAGTGAGAACTGTGCATGCTGTATAGAAAAGAGATGCTGTGACCAGGTCTTTTAGTTGTGTCCCATAGTCATTGATTTTTAGAATAAGGACATTGTATGGCTGCTCCTGGTATTGAGGAAAGTATGCTGGAGTGTGTTATTCACGCATAAATAAAGGCGACCTGAGCACTAGGCATGGCTTCACTGTTACAAAAAAGTTTGCTTTCCTCTATTGCCAGCAACTTGAAACTTTCGCCCCTTTGAAAATTATGAAATCTGCTTTTCAAACAAGACATGAGCAGAGTGGTAGCTTTTTATGCAGCAGGTTCAAAATCAATTTCCCTAACCAGCCCATGGCTATTGAATGCCTTTCAAAGGTCAGGGTAAGTTGTAACAAACGACAAGTTTTGATCTCTTCGGGCACTAAGATGACCTGATGCAAGATTAAAAGTGATTATATTAGATTCCTGTGGGATAAGCAATCCGGAAACATGCATGACATGACTAGCTTACTGCGTGCCATGTTGGCCTCGTATGACCTCATCTTGACACCCTACCTGCATGTTGACTATGTAATGACCAGAAAAAAAATTGTAGCTGACGCTTAATCTGCATAATGCGATCAATATGGATGTGAAAATATTTTGAATCATAGATCGCATGAATACAGCAAATAATCACGCTAACCTATGGAATGACCTTGACCTGACCCCATTGTGGCATCTACATGTTCGTGACACAGCATCCTCATTTAGCTAAAGAGCATGTACTTTTTGAGGAAATGAAACACTCCAATTGACCCAGCCCCTGCAAACATGTAATGGGGGTCCGCGGGCCTTTGCTCTGACCTTGACCTTTCATGTCAGCATAATTTCTAATTGTTGTCTCTTTAAGATGCGTCCGTTTGACTATTTGCGTTTTCATATATATCTCCAACTTAGGCAATAAACTCCCGAAAAAGCTTTGTGAGAGTTTTGTCCCTCGGCTTTCCAGCCCGAGGCGCTCGGTTAGGACGCCAGCCAATTAATCATTAATAAACTTTGTAACCGGTATTATGGCCTATTCGGAGAAGAAATAGTCTTGTTATGATCCAACCATAGATATTTAACGGCTCCCAGTCTGAGAACCGTTTCAAAAAGCCAAACAAACTGCGGTAGGCATGCATCCGCCGTTGATCATTGCGTGTCGACTACACTTGTGACGTCATCAGTTAAAGCAGCGGAATTTGGCCGGACGGTTATACCTTCTGCTCTAGGGCCTTGGACTGATCATGTGTTAGAAAGCACACTCATATATGTGGATTGCAGACGCATACAGGTAAAGCACAGACGAACGGGTTTCAAGGAATTGATTACATGCGTAACTAGGGTAAACTGAGGTACATTCTAAAACTCATGTTACCATTCATTTTTAGTGCTAAGACGAGCTAAGTACTCACTTGCTAAGTACAAAAGTCAGGGTAGCAGTACATCTTCTGCCTTAGTCTATTTTGGCGCACTGAGAGTTTTCCACAATTAGCAGGTTTGACAGCAGATTTAGAAAGTGTTTTTACTTCACAAGGAGTTACATTACTTATACTATAGCTACAGGACGAGGGATTGCATTGGTGGTGATTTTCAATGCATCAATGAAAGCGCAGGTGTCAGAAGACGACTTTGAAGGATAGCAAACCTTGATTAAAACGTTGAAAGCTCGTGAAGGGCCATTACCAGGTACTTTTTACAACACAGTTATGTCCTCCAAGCAGTAAAAAAAACCCGTAAAATTAACAGGAATTTACTTTAAAAAATGCGAGGGAAATTACTGGCCATTGTATGGTCATTGTAGTGCTATACTCGGCTGTAAGCCCTTTGCCTCGTGCAATGAATTTGCTTTGACTGATGTGAGACCATTCTCTGTCGACTCACCAGAAAACACGTTCAAGGAAGTGGATCCAGAAGTTAGAAAGGGGTACAGTTAAGAGCAGTCGTGCAATTTTTCGATCCAGTATAGGTTTCGTGGGCTCGCCAAATCTCCGACTAAACATCAGAACCCAGCAGTGCCTGAAACATTTCCATCGGAGCAACCAGGGAAAGAAAAGAAAGTATTTGGCAAGCCTTTCATTACGTTGCAGTCCGGGAAGCATTTTAACGGCAATCTTGATCTACTGCCTACTACACCAGCACGCTTTTGCAACTCTGTCTCGTGACCAGTTCCATTCTGCCCCGCCAATTTCCGCTTTTCCGTCCATCTTAACCCGGCCACCCAGTAGTGATGCACATTTGGAACACGATGGCCTATGTCACCTCCCTTAGGGCTGCCGCTGCCCTGGCGCTATCTACCACCCAAACACCTACCTAGACATTACACACCGGCACTCAATGACGTAGCTGACAGTATGTGGGCAATTCATGCAAAGCCTAATGCAGTTAACACCGTCTGCCAACCAGAACTCACATTGGCAACATTACAAACATTTATATTCCCTAGTCCGACTAGTCACACAACAAACTCCACCTTCACCACTCAAGAAATTAGGAGACAGTTCGGAAGCACAGGCAGGCTTGGAAAAGCCCTTTGTCTCAACCCTAAATACGTGTATATATATATATATATATATATATATATATATATATATATATATATATACACACATCTCTCTCACTCTCTCTCTCTCTCTCTCTCTCTCTCTCTCTCTCTCTCTCTCTCTCTCTCTCTCTCTCTCTCTCTCTCTCTCTCTCTCTCTCTCTCTCTCTCTCTCTCTCTCTCTCTCTCTCTCTCTCTCTCTCTCTCTCTCTCTCTCTCTCTCTATTTCTCGTTCTCCCACCTCCCCACCTTCTCCGCCTCCCCATTCCTCCCTCTTTCACTCACCAGTCGCTTCCGGCATTCAGGCGAGCCTCGCAGACCTCCTCAAACTCGTCAACGACGGATCTCACTGAATGTCGAAACCTGCGCTGGCACCAGTCGTCGAAACCGACGATCGTCGCCAGCTGTGGCTCCTGCAGGTGGCGCTCGCACCTGCAGCGCTGTCAGCTGGCGAGGCCCGTCCGTCTCGGGCGCGCTGAAAATCGATTTTTCGGATTGAAAGCGTCGATTATCTGGCGCGGGTGTGTGGGCCCGCGTTTGTCGCCAAAATGGCGGCCTTTTTAGCCTTACCAACGATCAGGCGACAAAACAGCACATGTTATTCGGTTTAACCCTGCGGAAGAATACAAGAAGTAAGGAATGGTACGTCTTCAGAATCTTACTACTTCAGTTGTTAAGGTTTTCTATTGAAGCCCAAATGTAGACCGAACCTCTTCAAGTATTATTCCTAGGCAGGAGTAGGTTTTTGGGTACTTCCTAAAGGTACCCAACGGAGATCACCCATCATTCACCTCGTTTAAAGATAAAGTATGACCCCTTTAAGTGCTGATTTTCTTTTTAAGTTCAGAGCCTTCTAAGCAGTCTTTATTTCATAGGTAGTACTTCTTATACATGTATTCTTCTTCCATTTGAGATCCCATGGAATGACGACAACACAAAGTTTCTATGAAACTTTTTTATTGACATGAGTTTTCTACACGCTTGTAATGTGTGGGCTTCGTTGACACTTACAGCGCTGGCACTTCAAAAACGCAAACATATCACGTCTTCTCCAGATAAATGAGCAACGGTAACCGAATTTCTACGTTTAAATTACCCAGCAGCTTATTTCGCGTGCAAACACAATACTGCGATGCTGTCAGTGTCAGACTGGGCGTGTTATGAACGTGGAGATGTTTTTTCGATATGCTTTCTGGCAGCCGTCGGAGGACGACTCACTAAGACAGCTGTTTTCCGACGGCTGCCATGGTTTTGTTTTCGCGCAGCGGCGTGTCGTAGCGATAAGGGTGATAACCTTTTGAAACATGACCTTTTGCCCCTCGGGCAGTGCGATCAGTCACCAGATCTGGGAACAGCACGGACCTGGCCTGACCGGATATGTGCCCAGGGCTGCAACTGGTGCTCACATGCGTCTTGGCGTATTCACTTCACTTGGGTGCGAACACCACGATACACGAGGTGCCGTAAACAATTCGTCACGTGATTTATCTCAACTCATATAGCATTCGGAATTTAGAGTGTCGCCTTTCCTATGACCGTACATAAATTTTAGGCACATGCACCAGAAAACCTTACATTTTTGAATGACTTTAATTACTTAAGTTGGCTTAAATTCATCACCAGCAATGGGTTGGCAGTGTATAGGGCTTGACCTGAATGCTTGGATCTCATCAATCTGGTGAGTGGTGATCATTCGCGCTTCAAAGCTATTCGTAGACAATCTGGCCATTGATATGCTGGCGGATGTCGGCCTAGTATGTCTCTAACCGGGCCCAAAACACCGTGACTGTGGAAGAGAGGAACCACCCCGGGAGCAGTGCACACGGGCAGTTTATGACTCTGACTCTGAGAGGTCGCGTTGATTGGCTCTGAAGAAGATTTACGATTTGCAAAGCCTCCAGTGGCGACGACGGAAGGTGGGGTAAAGGACTTGGTATGTCACATTAATGTCGCCGGTCACTGCGCGTCTGATGAATTGAAAGGATGTCTCTTCCAGTAATTCTGCACTGGAATGTACTGACCTGGATAAATGACCAGACAAATAAATGTGCGAATCAAACATTTTCAGACCAAAAGCGAAACAAGTCTCTGACAGGTGACAGCATAAAGTCATCTCGTCCGAGCGTTCCACGACTATCACATTCAGGATCATCAGATTCAACGCATACCAAAAGCACACAACTGAGTAACCATGCGCTTCAAAACGCTTTCGGTAAGTAAAGTGCCACGAGCACATGTTTCGGTAAGTGAAGTGCCACGAGCACATGTTTCGGTAAGTAAAGTGCCACGAGCACATGTTTGTATTTTATGACTAACACCAGATATTGGCTGGAGTGTTCTACCACTGCATCGCGTGGATGTGTTGCTGGTGGTGAATGTTCCTCATGGGCTAAATATTGTGTGGGCGACGATTGTTGCCAGTTAATTTTCTGAATGACTGGTGCTTTGTGAACACTATCAAATCTAACGATAGCGCACCATGACTGTTGCATTTTGTTCCCTGCCTTGTCACTTGTGTCACTGTTTTCTGTTAAAAGCGACCTCGCAGGTTTTTTGGGTCTAACCTTGACGTTTTTTATTCCCATCCATACTTAACGGATTCATTTTCGAGCAGCCTGGTCTTTGCCATTTAGAAGGCAATTGACACCGTTGCAGCGACCATCTGCGGAATCATGAAGTTAGCAACAAAACTGCACATTTCTCGCAATTCACGCTGTTGGAAATGAGAGTTTTGCGCCGGAACCGTTGCACAAGCGTCATCTTCCTGCACTCTAAATGTCGTGATTATATAACCCTCCACAAAAATCAGATCAATTCCAAAAGGTACAGGTCCAATTTAACTTCAATCCTAATCCAAAACCAAAGAACGCTGATCAAAATCAATTCATTGTTTTCTCAGCTCGATATCCTAGTATCACAAGCCTGACATATTTACGTGGGCAGAAGAAGAATAATCGTATTGGCAAAAGTGTGTACTTTGATGTGCACAGGCGGAGGAGCGTCTCAGAATACTAATATTAGTTTAGCAGTGGATTCCCTCCCGCGTCGCCACATGGTCAATGCTCATCATTCTCAAAAAGTGGTGTACCATGGCACTTACGAAGCCCCCGTTCCTCCGCCCATGCTGGTTTGCGCAGAAGGTCACGCTATCTATTGCCCAAACCAAGGATACGTCCGCGTCTGGATGTGTTCGGAATAATGACGTCAGATTTCTGAACAAACGCAGATGAAGACGTAAAACTAATTGCACATTTGAGAGAAATAGACCATTCATTGATCACTCTGCATCCAAAGCTATATGACCAACGAGCGAGTGAGTAATCGAACGGAATGGCTAATGCCACACGTTTCGATGTTGGTCTCGATTAAAACACCTAGCCTAGGTTGTGAAACATTGCGTCACGAAAAGGAGACAAGTATTTGGCCTATTTCAATGTAGCCGACGTCTTCCCAATACAGTTGCGGTTTTTAACGCTGATCGCAATCACTTAACATCTAGGCTATTACAAACTAGTGAACTTTGCCGATTGTCACTGCTCCCACCTTACCAGACCCATAGCAATGCATTGTGAATTGGCGCACAAACGCTACGTCACTTAACCTCCGTCAACCGGCCCTTGTAAGACATGGATTGAATCCTCGTTAATAAGGCCTGTTTTGTTAGGTTTCCGAAGAGGTCTGGCGCCATTTGGGGCTTAAAGCCACTCAAAAGTGAGAAAGAAAATTGTATATTGTTGCCACTTTTCTCGCCCCATACTGCACAGTGCGTCGTCAAAAAGTTATGGAAGCCCCAAGAACGCGAACGACATATTTCTATCACAGCAATTGCGATCAAATTTGCCCCAAGCACATAAACCCACAAATGCTCCCTCCGCTGCACTGCATCCGTATATTCCACCAGGCCGTGGCTGCCACTGATTCTGTTCTGCTCCAGATGCTGCCACTGCTGTCTCTGCTGCTGGGGCTCTGTTCGACGGCTGCCGCTGATGGTGCTCTATTCCAGCTGCTGCCGCTGCTGTCCGCTGCTGGGGCTCTGTTCGACGGCTGCCGCTGATGCTGCTCTGTTCCAGCTGCTGTCACTGCTGTCTCTGCTGCTGAGGCTCTGTTCAGCGGCGGCCGCTGATGGTGCTCTGTTCCAGCTGCTGGCTCTGCTGTCTCTGCTACTGGGGCTCTGTTCGACGGCTGCCTCTGATGCTGCTCTGTTCCAGCTGCTGCCACTGCTGTCTCTGCTGCTGGGGCTCTGTTCGACGGCTGCCGCTGATGGTGCTCTGTTCCAGCTGCTGCCGCTGCTGTCCGCTGCTGGGGCTCTGTTCGACAGCTGCCGCTGGTGGTGCTCTGTTCCAGCTGCTGGCTCTGCTGTCTCTGCTGCTGAGGCTCTGTTCAGCGGCGGCCGCTGATGGTGCTCTGTTCCAGCTGCTGGCTCTGCTGTCTCTGCTCCTGGGGCTCTGTTCGACGGCTGCCGCTGATGCTGCTCTGTTCCAGCTGCTGGCTCTGCTGTCTCTGCTCCTGGGGCTCTGTTCGACGGCTGCCGCTGATGCTGCTCTGTTCCAGCTGCTGCCGCTGCTGTCCGCTGCTGGGGCTCTGTTCGACAGCTGCCGCTGATGGTGCTCTGTTCGACAGCTGCTGGCTCTGCTGTCTCTGCTGCTGGGGGTCTGTTCAGCGGCGGCCGCTAGCCTGGCCGGCCTGGTTTACCTGACCAGCCTATCCCACCTGGCCCGTGCGACGACCACCATTCGGCCGGAAGATGACTACAACTGCTGCTGGTGCACCAACCTGCACGTTTTCTGTTTCCGAATGTGTTGTGTTTAGCAGCTCCCGGTGTTTGCCTCTAGTCTCATCCCAGGCGCATCCAAGGTGCATGGTACACATGCATGTGACAATGCTGGACCGCTGTGTGTTCGGTGCACCAGCGCACTCCTGAATGAAACAGCGACGTAAGAGCTGAGTGTATGGAAACTGCCTTCTACCCCGTTTCGCACTTTTGCATGCGCGCTGTTGAAAATTTCGCTTACGAAAAAATAAAGTAAGTCTTTCGGTTGCCACAACTTTGTGGATGGATATGACTGTGAGCACGAAAGAATGCGGCCAACTGAATACCAACCGTGCATCCTTGACGCGTGGATGGAGCCGTAATGTGGTTAACTGAGGTGAAAAGAGAACTCCCGAAGCAACGGGTGGCCGAAGAGGGGGAAAACGCGAAGCAATTCAGTGGGCGTCAAGGCTAGGGTCGCAGCCTAAACTTCAACAAGAGGAGGGAGCACAAGCTTGAAAAGAGGCCATCTGATGGTAAAAGGCCCTCAACAAATCACCAGATATGTCCAACGGGATAATGAGAAAAACGGTTTTCTTTGCTATATTCTTATTTGTATATTCTTTAACTGGACTAAAAGTGAGACGCCATCGCGAGATCAATTCTGTTCGAACTGTGGAGTCGATAAACTGAAGAAATCAGGCGTTAACACGCGCTCGGGTGGGGGTCAAATTGACCCCCCCAAGATTTTTCCAGAATGATTTCCGAGCGGCGCGGCGTAGCTGCGCCAAATTTTGATAGCTGTTCACAATTCCTCACAAAGTCCTCAACTCATGATTCGCAGCCAAATCTTGGAACAGTTGGCGCGTTTGGCTGCGTCACGGAGATCGTCGTAAAACAAAAGCCTTCTGTTTGCAAATCCTTTGAATTTACGGAAGTAAAAAGGGGCTTAGCAAATGTTTACAATGACTCATATAAAGTCCGACAGTTCAAAAATGTATTCATTGCTCCACCATTTCCACTCAGGTGCCCCATGCATTGCGCTGTTAGTAAAAGCAGTAGGCTACTAGTCTTATGAAATTCTCAAGCTCTGCTGGCTTGTTTACCCGGGACACTGCTTTTCCAAAACAGTGTTTGCCGACTTTTGCCGCTTTAGGAGTATTCCACCACACAAAACGCACGTAGTCAACCGGGTCCCGCTCTCATTTTCAGCTACAAGACCGGAGAACATGGAGCCCCAGCGGTACTACCGACATCTAGTAACTGTATGCCTAATTATACTCTGACATGCAAACGATTATCAAATGCATAAATCGTGTTGGCTTTTGCTTGCTGTGTCCCAAAGACTTAACAGGCCATTTGAAAACGTGTTGAAGTCTTACAGCTCTCCGGAAATCGAAACATTTTCGTCACTTTCAGCTAACGAGTGGTAACAGCCGTCGTTTTTAGAGCTGTCGTCATGTTAGGTTATCAACATGTCACGTCATGCCACATCATGTCCCGTTAGGCCAGGTTATCAACATGTCACGTCATGCCGCATCATGTCCCGTTAGGCCAGGTTATCAACATGTCACGTCATGCCGCATCATGTCCCGTCAGGTCAGGCCAGACAAGGTGAAACCAGGTCAGATCAGGTAAGACCAGTTCAGGTCAGTTTATCATTTCGTCAGGCCTGCCATCTGGCACATCTGATAAGGGTCAAGGCTTGGCCGGTTTTGTTTCTGGGTGCATTTTGCCCCAAGCCTGCTGGCGCCTCTTCCCGGGACGAGGCCGCTGACATGGCAGCCTCCACCTCTGGCCTCGTAAAACGCTGCTCCACACATGCTGGCACCTCGTCCCGGCACGAGGCCCCTGACATGACAGCCTCCCCCTCTGGCCTCGTAAAACGCAGCTGCAGCCTACACAGCTCTCATTCGCGCCATTTGTGATCAATGGTCACACATGTTTCAATTTTCCATCAGCGTTTCATTTGCCTGTCATTTGTGAGTAGCCCTAGTCGGTAAACCCTGCGCCATCGTAACTGCATTTGAAACCGTGCAACTGTAAACGCGTAGATTCGTATGCTCCGTTCAGTGGGCCCGGGCCCAGTCCAAAGCCGCCGTTTGGTTCGGCCGCGACGACCGTCTCCCTTGACGTGACATCTCTGACAGATGTCGCGTGACATCCGTGACATGGCGCGTCGGCCGTCAAAGGTCACCGTCCACAGCGGCCGTTCCCCGCAGCGCGTCCTGTCTGCGCTAGCCCCGGTCCGGGTGAGACGTCACTGGCGTCCGCCGTGTCTCTTCCTCTCGTGTCTGCCTCGACGGAGCGACGCTAAGACGTGTCTCGTCCTGCCTCTGCCTCGACGGAGTGGCGCTGAGACGTGTCTCGTCCTGCCTCTGCCTCGACGGAGTGGCGCTGAGACGTGTCTCGTCCTCCCTCTGCCTCGACGGAGCGGTGCTGAGACGTGCCTCGTCCTCCCTCTGCCCTCGACGGGAGTGGCGCTGAGACGTGTCTCGTCCTGCCTCTGCCTCGACGAAGCGGTGCTGAGACGTGTCTCGTCCTGCCTCTGCCTCGACGGAGTGGCGCTGAGACGTGTCTCGTCCTGCCTCTGCCTCGACGGAGTGGCGCTGAGACGTGTCTCGTCCTGCCTCTGCCTCGACGGAGCGGTGCTGAGACGTGTCTCGTCCTCCCGCCTCGATGGAGCGGCCCTGAGACGTCCGGCAGAGGGCGCTGCCCGCCGCCTCTGTGGGTGGCAGAAGACGTGGTGTGCAGAAAACCGGACGCGCGGAGGTTCCGGTACACAAGACGGCAGCCGCACGAAGAAGCCTAGACCGGAGGTTTCGATTCCCAGAGGACGTGATATACAGCAGACCGCAGGACCCTTGCAGGGTCGGGACCGGGAAGGCGCAGGGACGAGAGGACCTAAGGTCCGAAAGATGAGCCCCTGAGCGCCACGCGCAGCCGCGAGACGTTCGAGTTCGATTCCAGTGTCGGTCTAAGCACTAGGCCCCGGCATGATCGGACCCGATAGGAGGTAGGGTTTGGTATACTGTTTGCGTGGTGGCCTGTGAGAAGCACTTCCATCGCTCGCAAGGCGAGGCCGTGACCTCCTATGTCTGGCGTGCATTCCACGGGTCAGTGCAACAAGCGTCCACTCTCTCGCACCTGCAGCTGGCTATCCTGATTCGAAGGCAGGAGAAGCGACCTCCCATCGGGGCCAGCCGAGCGGAGATGTCGTGCGGGATTCTGGAGGTCTCGCTTGGCTGGCTTGCGCTCGTGATGGTGGGCTCCAGCACCCTTGTGCTTCGTCCCCTCTTGTTGTTCGTTGCCTTTGGGTCCTGTCATGGGACCCTCCCCAACCTTGGTAACCCCTACCCATCATCACTCTTACCGACCAGCATCACAGTACCAGCACCAGTCAGCAACGTCTCCAGGAGCATTAGTGAAAATGTGGTCCCGTCAAGCAGACTCACAGCCTTGACCAGACTGCAGCCTGTCAACGTTGGAAGGTCACTGCCGCCTTCGGCCGGCGGCGGTGGATCGAGCCAAGGCACGATCGTGTTTCCCACATCGCCGCCTAAGGCGCCACCAATAGCCGATCCAACCAAGGACCCCAAGCAGATCCATTTCCAAGACGCAAAACCCTCGTTCAAAACAAATCACCAAAACAGATCGCCTCCGGGCTCCAGGTCCCTGACGAACACCTCGAGGGCTCACAACATGTCACGTACCGGCGGTCGGCGGGGTGGATCGTCCAGGACGCCGAGTCCTGCGACATTGCGCCAGGACAGATGGTTCTGGTGGTCGTATCTCGGACCTGGGAACTGGTGGTCCCGGCGTCGCTCTCCGCCCTCTCCTACCGCTCGCTGGCCTGGCTACGGTCAGGGTCACCACCCTGGCGCCGCCGGCAATCGCGGCCAGAGAAACAGAAACGGCACCGCACGCCACTTGCCGCCTCCTCCCGTTCCTCACGATCACGACCGCGGTACCAAGAACGGTCCCACGCGCCGTCTACCGTCCCCTCCCGTCCCTCACAGCCATGCTCACAGAACCCACAGCGGTCCCACGCACCGTCTACCGCGTCCTCCCGTCCCTCACAGCCACGCCCACGGAACCCACAGCGGTCCCACACACCGTCTACCGCCCCCACCCGTCCCTCACAGCCACGCCCACAGAACCCAGACCGGCCCCACGCACCGTCTACCGCCCCCTCCCGTCCCTCACAGCCACGCCCACGGAACCCAGACCGGCCCCACGCACCGTCTACCGCCCCCTCCCGTCCCTCACAGCACGCCCCACGGAGCCCCATACCGGCCCACGCACCGTCTACCGCCTCCTCCCGTCCCTCACAGGCAAGCCCACGGAACCCAGACCGGCCCCACGCACCGTCTACCGCCTCCTCCCGTCCCTCACAGCCACGCCCACGGAACCCAGAACGGCCCCACGCACCGTCTACCGCCTCCTCCCGTCCCTCACAGCCACGCCCACGGAACCCAGACCGGCCCCACGCACCGTCTACCGCCTCCTCCCGTCCCTCACAGCCACGCCCACGGAACCCACAGCGGTCCCACGCACCGTCTACCGCCCCCTCCTGTGCGTCGCAGCCACGCCCACGCAAACAGGAGCAGCGCGGCGCGCCGCCTCCCGTCGCCTCCGGTCCCACCAAGGGGCGGTCATGGCCATGGTCATGGGCGCCCCCCGCCAGCGGGCCAGGTGGAGGTGGTGAATGTGACGGCGCTGTACGGTCGCGCCGGCGTTGGCTGCGTGTGTCGCCCACCGGCGGCTTGTCCGAGCGGAGGTCGACGGGCGCTCCGCTGTGGCGCCGCCCACGTCTGCTGCCCGCGGACGGCTGTCTACACGCCCAAATGTGGCCGGCTGAAGGGGAACCAGGTGAGAGGGCGTCGTTCTGTTGGAAGATGCTGAGCCCCAGCAGGAATCCCCTTTGCGGCAGGAGTGACAGAGCGTGGGTCTGTGGGAAGGTGCTGAGTCCCAGTAGAGATATATTTACTGGGACTAGTGAGAGAGCGTGGGTCTGTAGGAAGGTGCTGAATCCCAACAGGAATCCATTTTTGGGACCAGTGAGAGGGCGTGGGTCTGTAGGAAAGTGCTGAGACGCAGCACGGTAAGACGAAGGACCGCGAGACACATGAGTAGGCGCTGATTCACAGCATGAAATGGAGATACGATGTGTAGCATTAGAAGAAAACAGGGTCTCAATAGGGAATGGGTGAGAAAACGCGGAGCTTGTAAGGGGGGCAGAGTCACGACTTGCGGACATGTGGTATATCCACCGTTAAAAAATGAAAGAGGTGTCTTTTCAAGAGATCAAAAGGACGGACAAGGCGGGGGTAGTGCGTGGGGATGGGATGGGGGGGGGGGGGGCTGGGGGCAGCATTCTACATGCATTGGCTCGAGGTAAGGATCGCGGAGAAGTGTTTTGGCTTCGGATTGGTGCAGCATCTCTTTGCATATATCGCGTATTTTTTATACAGGCGGCTGAAGAAAGCATGACAACCACTTAGGCGCTGATGAAGCATTGCTAATTCAGGAAAAATGCTTACCTTGAATAAAAAAGGTTTGTAAGTCTGGCGTTATCTGGAGGAATCTATATATTTCAATTCTTATTTTACGTAACCGCTGATGGACTCCCCGAGGTTTGTTTTGAAGGTTGCAGTTCTTACATATACATCCCCGCTGCGGACTGAAGGAGTACGGTGTAAATCGTGTGGGCGGTCCCCAGCAAACAGGCAGGCGATGCTGCACTTGTACTGTTTTGTATGAACCGGCAGTACTGCTGGCGCGCCTGATCCAGGAGTTGTGCAAAAAGATGTCCCATCCTCGTCACAGCACAGCCGGTGTTGTTTGTACTTGTCACCTGCCCTCGTGTAGCTAGCCAGCCACCACCTGAGGGATTTTGACAAAGATTGGTCTCGGGTGCGGGCTTAGAGGGTTACGCGCGGGACGTGCTAGGAGATTCCAAGTCACAATATGGTTATCCCCTTCTGGTAACATCCTCTGTGATAGGGAGAAACATAACTTGCGGAAGTAGCCTCATGGAGTTCAAACGAAGAGAACGCCGGAAGGTGGGCAGAACGAGTGAAAAGTCGTAGTGTAAGAAGGCGGGCGATCCCGCCAGGGTACCTTGGGCTTCCGAATGGGAACAAAATTCTGCCAGCGGACAATTGGGTGTCTAAATCCTCTATGAATGTGGAATTATATGTGAAACGAGTGTGTGGTTAAACACACTTGTGTAGTAAGACTGGCTTCTTCTAAACTTGTGTGACATGATTCTGAGAACTACATTTTCTTTCTGTTTCAGGCTTTTTATGTCATGATCCCAGCTCAGTGCATGAACCAACGAAACAAGCGTCAGGTCTTATCTTGGTTGACGCATCTCATCATATATACGTGATAGCTGTTGTTACCAAACCCGATTTTTAGTTATTGGTGTCTGATCGACTTCAACCTCACAGTGATGATTGTTGTGTGCCTAGCCTTTTGCACTAGCTGAGCTTAGTTGAAAAAATTGGTGGCTTCTTTCAATTGAAGTGCCGTTATCAACTAATTGATGTCGCCAGGCTGGCAGCAACCTCGCGGGCAACGCACCCTGGGCAGCAGCGCTGCTGCTGAAGCAGCCCACGGGTCACGTGTTCGTGTGTGGCGGGGCACTGATCCACAGACAGGTGGTACTCACTTCTGCGCGCTGCGTGGTCGGGTAAGTAAAGCGTGTCACATAGCGAGACAGGAGGCATGGCTGCGCAATGTCACATTGGGATGGTGCGCGAGTTGATTTTCTTGTCATGTGTATTTTTGTAAACATTGAGCCCTTAACTCTTAGATGCATGGATTTCTCGGATCAGAGCTCACGCTAAGCAGTGCTTGTTGTGTGAGCTCTGACGCTTCTATCCGATCGTGCAATTCCGGGTCCATGGCAGTACTTGGTGGCAAAATTGTTTAACGCGCCGGAATGCTCGGTATGTCCCGTCCTGCCCTCTGACGTCATCTGACCTTTCGCACGGCCGCAGGCCACGCCCGTGAAGGGCGATCAGCGAGCGCCTAAAGCGACCCGACCCCACCCCGCCACGAGTGAGCGGATCGCAATGTAGGCGCCTTAACCAACTGAGCCATTAGGACGGACCATGGGGCGGACGTTCTAACCACTGAGCTCACCGAATTTGATGACATTTCTTTTGTATACATAACCTGGGTGTCAGCGTACTTTCTGGCGGATCTTAAGCCATTTGCAGTGTGCAGGCTTGTATACTTCCCCAGCTATGCGACCAGTGTATGCGAATGTGTCCAGTGCTTTGGACGGAAGTACGAGTGAGTAGAGTAATTCCTCTGTGTTTTCTTTTTGTGCGCGCTCTTCGGCATTACGCCTACCGCCACACGGCTGCCTCTTGCCGGATGCATACCGTTCGAGTCACGGCTCGTGTTAACACGCAAAAGACGGCGTCCGGTGCTTAGCGTCAGAGGTGTACAACGGAGTGGTGGAGATCCAAGGGAGCTGAAGCTTTCGCTGATTTTGGTTTGATGTGCTCACGCTTTTGTCTCAAGTATGCAAATATGGACAATCAGCATCGTCAGAGGAGTCAGCCGTTTTGTCTCTTTCCCTTGCTGTTTGGGTCGGAAAAAAATTGGTACCATACCAGATAGCTAGCTAGGTGATAGATGCATTGACATGCTTGCTCCCTGAAATAATTAATAAATGAGGCGCCAAATTCACGAACATGCCACATTCCTAAGTGTCATATTGCGGCGAGATATTAACATCCCATCCAAATGCAACAGCAAACGCACGCCTTGCCAGATTAGGAAAAAACGAAAACATGTCTTAATGACACGACACCCGATTTCCTACCCGATTGTGTATGGAGAGCGAATAGCGATCTCCGCTGAATAACGCCAGGTGGGAAGCCATGCCAGCGAACGACCCTCCGTTCTTGCCTCGTCCTCAGCCTTGGAGGCCAGAGGGCGCTTCTAGTGGTTCGGTTAGGGAACGGTGCACTGGCCAACTCCAGCCAGTCCTTCCAGGAACTCCAGGTGAGTGCTCGTTCTTGTCGGATTGGCTACTTATTGCGAATCATGACACATGCGACTTTGCGGGGTAGTTCGTTGCTCATAAATTTAGGATCGTTTGTCGGCGAGATCATTAAGATGCACTCTGTGGCGATACGCCGGGCGGCTAGAACATTAAGTCCCTGAACATCGTGACCTGACGTAAGTATTGTTTGTAAAGCACTTCGTGGTGTCTACAAACAATATCAACGATCATGATCACTCCACCACTGCTTGACTTGTGTCGCGCCTCGCCAGGTGGGCAAGGTGGTGGTGCATCGGAAGTTCCGCTGGAAGCAGGGCACGCACGACGTGGCTCTCCTCTTCCTCAACTCCTCCGCCACGCTACGTCCAGGCCTGGATACCATCTGCGTGCGGCCCGGGGAGGCCGCGTCGACGCGGTGCACTATCGCGACGTTCAACCTTCTCTCCGCCGGTAATGACATCCAGCAGCGGGCAGCTCCTTGGCACGGTCAGTGGCCTGCTACGTCAGGCCAAGTCGCTCATCCAGGGGACGATTGAATTCTCTCCTCTCTCACGGACTAAAAGACTCCTTCACCGCACGAGCTAGCCGCTCGTAGCAAGGTGCGAGAGTGCCCCCTTCTGTGCTTGAACTTGAACGTTTTTTGAACGTCATCAGGTTGTCTATGTGTTCTGCGAACACCCGCAGGCAAAATTGTGACATTTGAAGACCTTTTCGATTGAATGACGCCACCTGCACCAAAATTTCCGGAGGAAATTTTGCTGTGTCAGTGCCAGTGAGCGCCATAAAACGAGGTTAAGCGCCCGTTGCAAAGGTAAAAACCAGCAATCTCATGGGCAGCCAGTGTTGACCCCTGGTCTGGTGCCCTCCTGCAGCGCCGCCGCCAGCCCAGCTTCGCCTGACCCTGGCTCGGCAGACGTGGGTGCCGCGCCCGTCATGTCTGCGCGCGCTGAGCTCCTCGACCTACAGCCCGTTCTTGGCGCCGGCCAGCGGCCTGATCTGCACGGACCCGGACCTGCCGTGTCGTGGGGGGCGGGGCCGTGCTGGGTCGCCGCTGACCTGCGCTGACCTGCGCTCCGGTGAGCACCGGCTGGTGGGCGTGGCCGTCTGGGGCGAGGCCTGCCCCAGACGGTTGCGCTACGGCATCTACACGCGCGTGCAGCCCCTCTACCGCTGGATCGACTTCCACGTGACCGACCACTTCCGCTACTTCGAGAGCTACTTCGGCTTCGTCCAGGCGTAGGCTGGCGGGAGTCGCGCGAAGAAGGGCGTCGGATCGGGCTGTATGGGTGTCAAAGGCGGGTTGGAAGCCGCCGAGCTTACCCAGCGTGGCGTCTGTTAAGAGCGCACACAGACTGTGATGGGTAAGAGCTGCTGAGGTCGAACGGATGTAGACGTGGACAGCCGTGTGTGGACGTAGACGTCCAAGAAACAGCAAGAAGCAAAAATGAAGGAGAGAAAAGCAAAGAAACACTTCGTAGCAAAAGATGTGCGCATACGAACTGTGAGCATGTTTCTGCCATATGTAGATGTGCATGAAGTTGTTTTGCTGTGATGGGGAACATGTGACTGTAAGTGTGCCGTTGATTTTGGAGTGTGTTTTTTCAAGTCTCGACGGCTCAAAGTCGGCTGTGAACATAGTTGGTTTGAGTCCGAGTTAGCTCTTGTTAGATTTGGTGGCCTCGTTATCTGCAGCACCGCTGAGGCCTGGTGGCTGCTATTCTAGCCTGGTCTGCTGGGGCCTGGTGGCTGCTATTCCAGCCTGCTGAGGCCTGGTGGCTGCTATTCCAGCCTGGTCTGCTGAGGCCTGGTGGCCGCTATTCCAGCCTGGTCTGCTGAGGCCTGGTGGCTGCTATTCCAGCCTGGTCTGCTGAGGCCTGGTGGCTGCTATTCCAGCCTGGTCTGCTGAGGCCTGGTGGCTGCTATTCCAGCCTGGTCTGCTGAGGCCTGGTGGCTGCTATTCCAGCCTGGTCTGCTGACTCAGCTCCCAATGGGCCCAGGCGAATGTTTTGATAATGAATGATATGTCCCTGTTACTCTTTGCCCCGGCCCTTCCAACAATTTTTAGATGATCTATCAGGCTGGGTCACATGAGGTCAAATCACATGTTTGCCGTTTACATGGTCAGTTTTTGCTTCGTAATATTACCATCTGAGTCTGGGTAGTTGCCATCTGTTTCTTAGGCTGAGAAAACAACAACAACCACTAGCCGTGCTGAATTTAACCAAGGAACCATGGAGCTGCAGCTTGTCACGTGAATGAAGATGTCGCATGTCTCACAAAACATTTCATTGACATAACATTTAAACAGAGCACTGGATAGACAAAACATGAAAACTTTCCGAACGATTTGCAAGTTATTAGGCGGCTTAGACAGTAGTAATAGCCTTACTCCTCGGAGAGATGTGTTTCTCCATTCTCCTGGTTTTTTTTCTTCTGAGGACTAAGGCTATAACTATTGTTTTATCGATGTGCATAATGTTCCTCGCAAATGCGCTGAACAACTTACGCCATTAAGCAGCCCATGATTGGAAGGATGTTTTCTTGCACGTCAAAAGCATGTAATGGTGCTCACAAGGGTCATAGTTAGGTCAAGAACAGACCAGGTCCGATCATAGTATGGTCTACTCATGGCATATGGTCTTGATATCTTCCGATATTCAGGATATGGTTTTGCTGTCTTCCGGCAGATGTGACCACTACAAGTCATTCGCTCGTACCGATTTTTCACAAAGCAGCAACACAACGCTGTTTGGGTTGGGTATCGTAACTTGGATGACTTCTCTTGATGTTCTGGTGCAGTCTCACATAGCACGACTGACTGACTGGCACAAAGCAAGCTACTAGGTGAATTTCATAAGCCATAAGGACCAGGGAGATTGCAGCGACGTCCTGCGCGTAGAAGCAAAGCCATGAGCGCAGGCCTTTCCTGAAGATACATGAACCTGACGCGACCTGACCCAGCTACAGTTTGGCTTCCGGAATGTGCTAGATTGGTGGCAAGTGGGGGTATTACTTTTCAAAGCTCGGGTGGGTGAAGGGGGCAGCCGATAGGGTTGACCTGACCTACTCCAAAACCTGATTTTCCTCCGGATTTTGGTCGCTTGAATTTCAGTTTTTGATGTCAAAGATTTTGCTGAAATTGAGAGCGACAAAGATCGGTGCGCGGAAGAGAGATTGGTAATTGCAAGCCCATGTCAGAAATGCAGCTGTGAGAAGTTTATAATTGGGTTTACTTCACCAAAAATATCTTACTAAGACGGTCCGGTTATGTTTTTGCCACCGAAAAAACGTTTCGTTTATCGTTCTCGGAAGGCAGTCTGGAAAACAAAACGACAAGTGTTATGCACAATGGAGTGGGCTAACCCATGCAGACTAGCGAAGAGTGTGCCTGTGGTGCATTTTCTATGGAGAGGAATGTGCTGTAGATGCAGGGTCTCTTGTAAATTCTCTCCGATGATATTGCATGAAGACAAAACAAAACGTAGCGTTTGTGAGCGGTGTTATGAACGCCTTGAAAACGTCCGTTTACGGAGAGCCCACACACTACTAGTTGAACACCTGGCACCCTGCTATGCAGCAATGGATCATGGTTCAACAAATCCCGGTGTAAATTTCATGAGCAGTAAAAGCCAATACGGATCTCAAGACAGTATGGTCGCAGTAAATTGGACGTCGCGAAATAGTTCGCACAAGTTTGCGTCTGTCTTGCTCAAAAGCAATGGGAAAAGGCTGTCATGAAAATCAATGATCTTAAAAATGGCTATCTCAGTCAAAAAATCCATACAAAGCAGGAACAGCTTAAAAAAAACAGCTTCGACATACTCAAAAGCTGCCATATATTGCAGTCGATGTTCATGTCCCAATCCAGGGATTACCTCTTGAAAAACCTGGCAACATTTGCAGGCGGGCAAAACATGTAAAGGAATTGGAATAGCACAAAAATATCAAGTCCCTACAGAAAACTACGTGATCCAGATAAACATGGAACTAATAGCAATGTTTTCGGGTATCTAGCCCGCGGACATTTCAGGAAAATGTTCTGCATTTCCTTGGTCCAGTATTTTTTTTTTTTTTAATATTCATCGGAGGGTTGGGCTCAGAGATACATTGGAGAGCAGGTCAAATCAGCATTGAGGGCCCTGGTCCTCTGAAAATATATGAAGTAACGTCCATATATAAGATATATGTAAGTTATATATATATATATATATATATATATATATATATATATATATATATATATTAAGTTATGAAGTAACGTCCGTCGTCGCATCACAAGTGCTGGAAATTTTGCCAGCATATCTAAAACAGCTGAAAAGATGCCTCAGAAATGAAGAGGCTGCTTGATTTGATCTCTTTGCGTTTTAACTTCGATTTCTTTTATCTGCAAACATGACCAATGAGCTGAGCATCACATATAGCTTGCAAAACTCCCCAAAATCGGCTCGCGCTTTGCGCTTTTCGCGTGAACAGGTGCAGCCATAGACCCACACTCTCGCCAGGATGATTCTCTGCTCCTGATCTGTCGTGAACAGGTGCAGCCATAGACCCACACTCTCGCCAGGATGATTCTCTGCTCCTGATCTGGCGAAATGGGCCGGTCTTGTGCCGACAGTGCACAGAACCGTCCAGACGTAGCCGCAGTGTTGACCCGAGTTATACAGCTCGTGCAGGCGGCTCAGGATATTTTTTCTCGTATTTTCCCCGTGGCAAAGAGATGGGCGAGGGAATGTTCTGCCCAGACGGCAATGTTTCGGACAGGTCATGTCACTTTAAAAAAGTAAAACCTTTTGATTGGATGGATTTCGTGAATCAACGCCCACGCAAAGAACTGTTTGCTGGGCGCGCTCTGGCCTCAGCATTCGATCGTAATGCCCCGGATCAGCGGCGCAATCTGGCGACGAAAGCTTGACGTGCCGCAATTCTGGGCACGGTCAGTCCTGCCCTCTGACGTCACCTGATCGGTAGCGCAGTTGGTACAACCAGCCGCTGGCCATCCTAGTCCAGAGCAAAACGTAAACGCCAAAAGCGGCTTGAACACACGCCATCATGCTTGGGTGAATCGAAGCACATGCGCTGTGACCGACTGATCTGAACGGGAGCTTGGAATATATGCTGGAAATAACAACATATTCATTCTATCAAACATTTTGAGCAATTTCGAACAAATTTTGCAGAACTGGGTGCCTTGCTGCTGAAACTGCACGAAGCTGTGCTCTGTAGCTGCTAAGGGATCAGTTTCAATCAATCGGTTACAGTTTTGGACAAAACTGGGCCAGGCCTCGTCTGGCTGCTCTAGCCGAAGATTGTATAAGCATGCAAGCAACGCTGACTCGAACCCCGGGCTTGCTCGCATTCAGTAGCATGCGATTTTCAAAAGCCAGTTAGTGAAAATATCATCGTATACTTTGTGGCATATTTGCAATAGATTAAAGAATAGATTTGCAACTTGAAGATAACTCATATTGTTACGATATGATATCAACACACGCTTTTCATCCCTTTCCAAAGTTACACCAATGGAAGAAGAGCGTCCCGTTTTGCGGCACCTGCGTGTGCTTGACATTCTTTATCAGTTTTCATCAGGCAAAACATAAATTGGCGTAAGTTCAAAGCTTCGCACTGTATGCCTGTGCCACCTTTGACACAGCTTGTCTCCTATGATCCCCTTCGGCTCCTACTTCTCTGCTTGAGGGTGTCGTAAATATTGATCTGAGCTATGTCCAGTGCCTGTCCGACCGCCGCTGGTGTTGACGCGCCACGCGCCTGCTAAAACCAGGCAGGGGCTCCTCTGGCGGCCATCGCAGGCCGGATGCTTACAATCCGATTAGCCTTTGCATTGCTGAAAGTGCTGCAGTATCACCAGTGTATATGTTGGAGTGGTGCGGCCCCGCTGTGCACCGCGTTGCCATGGCAGCCTGGCCGTAAGTGTAAACATGAGACCGGGGCATGCGGCGTCTGTACAGAGTGTCGTGTAAACGGCGCCTGCTGTCCTCAACATGCACCTCACATCATAGACGGGAATCGTTCGATTTGCAGTTAAGCAGGAGCAGACGGGGATGCGCAGTCGCCGACGGCATGCGGTAACGGTGTGTATAACAAGAGCGAAGGCTTGACATCTCTGGCAGGTGATGTTCACGTATAACAAGAGCGAAGGTTTGACATCTCTGGCCGGTGATGTTCACGTATGGACGGGAGCATAACAAACGCCGGATACGACAAAACGCGTTTTATTCAACTCGTTACCTAACACGAGCGGGGAAGACCAAGGTAAAACTTTTCAGACCACCCTGAACATGGGTCGTCTGTTACCACGATAGCCGAAATGAGTAATTAAGGCTCAGTTTCTCCGGTGAAATTGCAGCTTGCAACAGATCGTCCGTGTCTGATCGCCCTTTGGCCTTCCATTTTCTTAAGATTTTTAGTTATCTAGTGTGAGACGTTTGTCGATTATTTTCCATGCCCCACTGCTTCGTTGTCGCCGTTTTCCACCTGCTCGCTTTAGCACCGCCATGGCTGTCTCAGCTCTTGCAATCTCCGATCGTATCGCCCGCTGTGGTGTTCTTCCCGCTCTAATAGCCGCTGGACACCAGCGTGTGCGGTGGCGGTGGCGGTGGCAGGGACACTTGCACCGGCGTCTGGACTACCTGCACGGGCACTGGCTGATGCTGCTGCTGCAGCCTGTCAGGCAGACCACTGGCTGGGAACGCCGCCAGCTTCTCCTGCACCCAAGTCAGCAGCTTCGGCACGCTGGCGTACACGCCCGGCACGCCACCCTCGCCGCAGCCGATGCCCCAGGCCACGATGCCCGCCTGGACGTACTTGTTGGGATCCGTTTTGCTGGGACAGACCAGCGGCGAGCCGCCGTCGCCCTTGCACGTGTCGACGCCCGGCTCGCCGCCGGCGCACGTAAACGAGTCGTGCAGCTTGAACCAGCGGCCGAGCCGCGTCGTGCGCAGCTTCGTCTGGCACGCATCGTGCGGTACGATGTTCAGGTCGACCTGCTTCATGATGTTCTGGTAGGTGCCGCCCTCGAACTTGTCGCGGCCGAAGCCCGTCGCCACGCAATGCGCGTAGTCGAAGTCCTCGTCCGGCTCCGGCAGGCAGATGGTGTCGATGTGCGGCTGTAGAGTCACCTTGCCGTCCAGGAACAGCAGCGCTACGTCGTTGAAGAGCGTGCGCGGGTTGAGATCCTCATGCACCTCGATGTGTTTGACGTGGAACTGCTCGTGCGGGAAGATCTCCGTCTCGCGCTTGGTGTCCCAGTCGCCGAGACGGACTACGATACTGCCAGCTCGCTTACTGAAATGGTACCAAAGTTATGAGCATCGTGCAGACAGTGGTTGAAAGGCGGGGAATCTTGCAATGCCTGTTCGCCTGTGTGTGTGACAGCGTGATGTTAAATGCAGAGGCGTGGCCAGGATTTCGCACAGGGGGGGGGGGGGCAAAATTAGGACATAGGAGCACTTTCAGCCAAGTTGGCCCGCTTCGTCGCTATCAGCGACCTGCTTTTTATTTGTGAGACGTTTTTGTGCTTGACATCGCATTTTGGTGCTTTGGGGGAGCATTTGTTATATTTGAAAATCTCAGGGGCGTTAAAAACTGCCGAAGAAGTACTACAATTTTCTGCCCCCCCCCCTTTTTCACCCCAACTTTTCTACCCCAGGGGTCGCGCTACCTTCAGCGTGTGTGTGTGGTGGGGGCGACATAGTCGCAACACAAGTCCCAGACCAGTCCCACCCTTGGCTACTGGACTGGTCGCATGCCGTTTAGCTTCTCAGTTTGCAGCAGAATTTTGACAGAATGACAACCTTTGTGATAAAACCCGGCCTCCACACGGCTGGGTGAGGTTGTAAGCCGTCGAACTATACTCTGGCATGAGGGTAAGGTTGCGGCATCTTTGCAAAATGACAAACTTGAGCAAAGGCGATAATGTTCAACAACTGCTGTTAGGTAAAACGAAATCAAATCTCCTAAAAACTGTTGATGGCTCTTTTGAGCTTTTGGTCGATGATGAGTGCAATGAGCTATCGCCGATTACGCAAAATTATTGACGTACCCGCTTGGGGTGTAATAAAAACAAGAGATGCAAACTTAATGACATAAAAATGCATACACGCATCGGACCATGCATCCGTGGTATTCGCAGCATGACACATATCACTTGTGTGTCACAGTAAGCCGCAGCATTCCAGGAAATGTCTGCAAATCTGTCAGAAGAACACCCCCATATTAAACATCTCGCATTTATCCCTGCATTGAGATCACGCTGCCCTGCAGTTCCCGCCACCACTCATATCTCTATCGATCTCATATCGATATCGATATCGAGCTATCGATCTCAGCAGATCCATGCAGACTCACTCGTTCACGCAGTGGCCAGCAGTCAGAATGACGTCATCAGCTATCAGAGAGCCGCCGCACAGGTATTTCTCCAGACGTTTACCGCCCTGACGCTGCTCCTCCAGAATAATCGCCATCCACGGGAACTCTCCAAACTGGGACTCACTCTCCTGGAACAGGGCGATTCGCGGTTAAAAAAAAACTCCACAGAGCTGTCACTGGAGAGATGATCTAGCGAAGTGTCGATTTAGAGACAATGCAGACATACAAACGACTTCATTTGAACAATTTCATTCTATACGTGAGTAGAATACTAGCGGTCAAGTCGGGGCAATCACCCTGGCCCTACCTCTTAATGTCTAGTTGTTGCCAAGCTTTGAAAAAAACTTCAAGCGTCTACAGACGACGTGCTGGGAAGCACACTACAAGCTGAACTATTACCCCATTGGCGTGCGTTGTGTTCTTGAAAAATATACCAGACATGATTTTGGATCCCGAATTAAACTTCCTGTCGTATAGTTTATCGCAAGTTACAACACCTGGCCTCACCTTAAAGCCCTCCAGAGACACATGAATGCCCCTCCGGATTTCTGTGGCCGCAAGAAGGCACGTACTCCTCCTCCGTTAGCTCTTCCACAATTTCGGGCAGTGGTTTGGACTGTGGGGACCTTACAGCAAACATCCAGGAAGCTCTTGCACTGCGAGTTGGACTTCGGGCCTTCCCCTTCTGCGGGGCCGAAGCGGATGTCAATCAGACCAGCGCCGTCCGTGATAATGTCACCTCCCTTGCAAAGATAGTACGGCACGCAGATGCAGTCCTGAATGATCTCCTCGTGAGTGTCTTCGATGACTGAGATCTCCCCACCACTGACGGAGGTGGATGACGATGCCCCACCGCTGGAAGCGGCTGAGGCAGCTCCACCAGCGGCAGCTGAAGAAGAAGAGGCTCCCTGTCCTGCACCGCCAGCAGCAGCAGACGAAGCTGCTCCGCCACCAGCAGCCGAAGACGAAGCAGCGCCACCACCAGCAGCCGAGGACGAGGCAGCTCCAAGTTCTAAGCCACCAGCAGCGGCAGACGAGGCAGCTCCACCACCAGCAGCCGAAGATGAAGCGGCTCCATGTTCTCTACCACCAGCAGCAGCAGAGGAAGCGGCACCACCGGCAGCAGCAGACGAGGCAGCTCCACCACCAGCAGCCGAGGATGAAGCGGCTCCATGTTCTTCACCACCGGCAGCAGCAGACGAAGCGGCGCCACCAGCAGCAGCCGAAGAAGAGGAACCTCCAAGCTCCAGACCGCCAGCAGCGGCAGACGAGGCAGCGCCACCACCAGCAGCCGAGGACGAGGCAGCTCCATGTTCTTCACCGCCAGCAGCGGCAGACGAGGCAGCGCCACCAGCAGCAGCCGAGGATGAAGCGGCTCCATGTTCTTCACCACCAGCAGCAGCGGACGAAGCGGCACCACCAGCAGCAGCCGAGGACGAGGCAGCTCCATGTTCTAAGCCGCCAGCAGCGGCAGACGAAGCAGCGCCGCCAGCAGCCGAGGATGAAGCGGCTCCATGTTCTTCGCCACCAGCAGCAGCAGATGAAGCTGCTCCACCACCAGCAGCCGCGGACGAAGCAGCGCCACCACCAGCAGCCGAGGATGAAGCGGCTCCATGTTCTTCGCCACCAGCAGCAGCAGACGAAGCGGCACCACCAGCAGCAGCCGAAGAGGAGGAACCTCCAAGCTCCAGACCGCCAGCAGCGGCAGACGAGGCAGCGCCACCACCAGCAGCCGAGGACGAGGCAGCTCCATCGCCACCAGCGGCTGAGGAGGCAGCGGCTCCATGTTCCTCACCCCCCACGGACGAAGAGGAGGCAGCACCGTCTCCCGCAACTCCAACCGTGACCGACGAGGCAGCTGCATCCCGAGCAGACGAAGAGGCAGCCGCTCCTCCGTCGCCGACTGCAGCAACGGCCTCCTTTTCACCCTTTTCACCGCTCTCCTCGACAATGATTTTGGCCGACTCGGTTAGGTCCGCAGCAGGCACGCACTCCAGGCCGTAGTCGGCGGCCTGCGCTACCACGATCTCGATGATGTCATCGCCCCCCGAGCTGACAAAGTAGGACGTCTGGGAGGAGTGTGACGACTGCGAGAACTGTCTGCTTGACGAGCTGCTCTGGTGGGTCACGACCCTGCCGTCGCCGACCTGCGCTGAGATGTCGATCCCGCTTCCTACTGAGGGAACACCTCCGATGGAGGCGAGGCCGCCCTCACCGTCTCCTGAGAGAACACCTCCGCCGGAGGCGAGAAGGACGGACGGCACACCGACATCCAGCTGAACGCCCACGCCATTGCCGGCACACGCCTGGCAGCCGTCGGAGTCCTGCCCTGCATGGTCTTGGCTGGCTGGCTGGCTGAGCTGGCCGCCCAGACTGCCAGAGACGAGGACCGGCGGTGGCGCTGGATGACTGATGGCGTCCTGATAGGTCGGCAACGCTGTCGCCAGGCCCACGCACAGGGCCAGGGAGAGGAGCCGCATCTTGCGCTGGAACCTGCGAATAGGATCAGATGTGGTGAGTGGAACAAAGTCACAAACGTACAAACCACATCAGTCATCAGTGACTTTGACGGTTTGTGCTTCCTTGGAAGGCACACAATTGGTATAGCGCTCGTGGAGTACATCACCAGATGCTTTAACTCCTAGCACGCCAGGTGGTAGAGGTCGGGGCAGCTCGGTGGCGACTGGACCGTAATACGTCGTATTTGGTGGGCTAATTTCAGAGTTGCCAGCTGGACTGAATCTAGCCATGCAGATTTCAGCTCAATGAGAAGCACGGTGTCTGAGTTGATGCCTGGTCGTTTTTGTGTGGCATCTAAACGCGGATATATTCCATGTCCTGCACATATATTGTGAAAACTGTCGAAAACCACAACTCCTTGCATTCGTTTGGAAGCAATATCGGTGTGACTTTGTGAACTGCGATTACCTGACCTACCATGACACTGACGCAGTAGGTCAAAACGTACAACTGACTTAAGCAGAGAATGAGTTTTGCTGTGGATTTTTAAAACAATTAACCAGGCACCTGCCACGTTATTTCACCGACGTTATTGAAAAAGTTCATACTGCAACGTTCTGTCTGCTCCGCCCAATGCGCAGAGCTTCAAAATGACCTTTCAACACCTCAGGTCATACAGATGTCCAGGGCTCCCGATCCACCACTGACAATGACATGCTGTTCTTAGCCATGGATTGGTGGGACGCGTATTACTGTTTACGTGATGCTGGGAGCTACGCCCACTCCCTACCCTTTTTGACATTTTCGAAACCGAGAAAATGACCGGGATCATGAATTCTGTTCTCACAGATTGGTTCAAATGAGCCTTGGTATTGTTTTCACAGATGCTTTCCAGACTGCTACAGACAGCCGTTTATCACTGTTCAAGCGACATTTGAATAGCGTTCTGAGACTGATTAACCTGTCTGAAAAGCTAATTTGGCATTGATCTGTCAATATTTGAGATTCCTGAAGCCTCCAGAGATGACTCAGAAACGGTTTTTTAGGAAGCATGGCGGAACAAATCACGCACGGTATCAGGCGAGCATGCCGCTCAAGGCTCTTGGGCCTTGTCAGGCCGAGGCAGGCCAGAGTGAGCCACAACCTAGCTCGCTGCACTCCGACATTGGGTGCGTGTGAAATGCCCGGGTAGATCCGGGAGCTATAAGAAGAGAATTTTGGCTCTTTACTGCACACAGGAATAAGGCTAAAAATGAGATGTGAAAACAGCGCCATCTGATCAGCAATGGTTGTAGAAAGCTTGAGATACTGGAATGTATGCAGCGTAACATCCATCTCCGCATCCATCATCATTTCGCTTGGGCAAACAACAAAATTAGATTTGAGGAAATGACGACACGCAATGAAATAAGGGGCTAGATGTAGCATGCATATTATTTTGAAATGACTTGTCAGGCAATTAAAATCAAGTTCCTTCTTTTCTTACCGCTGCCCTCATGCGCATCACCAATGCGAATATCTAAGAGATGAGCATATAGGTGCGAGCAGTGGTTATCAACCAATATGGGCAAACATTACAACGCCAGCACTGTGGCGTTCCAGTGGGCCTACGTTCATTACTGCAACAATGGTTGCTTAACGCAACAGTTTCTCTCACGCAAGCTGCTTGCACTAAACCATGGCTGTAAGGCTCAATCTAATGAAGACATAAAACTCGTACAAAAGTTTCCAAAGTTCCAAAAACATTTCACATATTTTCCACCTGTAAGCTTTGGCCAGAGCGGCTTATCGGCCAATGAACGCAAGATTCAGTTAGCCGTTCGCTTATAGTTGCCCACACGTCAGCCCGTTTCTACAAGCACCGATCCCAGTAGTGTGCCGCTTACCGGTGAGGACCGTCGAGTGAAGACGCTTGTCTCAGGGCACGCCCTCTCTCCGAGTGCTGATCCTCCAGCCGCCTGCTCTTATATATACAGCCGGACGGCGTTCGGTGGCGGCTGCAGGCAGCGCTGCACTCCGCTGCCCGGGCTCGGCGTGTTTTCCAGTGTATATGGACACGGCCGGGGGGCATAAACAGGGCGGGCTGTGGGGGCCGCCGACGTGGGGCTGCTTGCCAGAAGTGCTCACTCGTCACAGGCCGCCAGCCTATCATCGGCAGAAGTGGACGCGGCGGAAAGTTGGCCAGGGCCTGGCGCACGTTGCTCTGTTTACTTTGTGGCAGTTTCCAGGATTTAAACACATGATTATTGATGCGTTTAATCAAAGGAGGGCGGTGTTTGGCAGTTCTGGGGAGGAAAGAAGTACGATAGACAAATGGTGAGCCGCATATATTGTAAGGCGCTGTTTAATTGCACGCAACAGATCATAACAAATAACGACCTGGGTTTGAAACAACACAAATGTAGTTATCGACGGGAGCTTTCTAGCTCATCGGGTTTGAGCTCATTTGAAGAGGTTGAATATCCGCGAGCACGGGCGCTGGAACAGGAGAGAGTGGGAGGGGCGCTTTCCCGACTTCTTGGGTTGGAGGGGTGGCCCCCTCCACCTAACTTTGATGCGGTTGGATTGACCTGAAAGTTTTACGCTCAAAGTCGGAAAACCTTTGTGCAGAAAGTCTTAGAAAAATGGAAGTCAGCCTGGCTGATATTTGTAAGCATCAGTACATCCTTCGACTGTTTTACATTCCTGGATTTTCTTTTGTGCGAGTTTCATCGTTTAAGTGAGATAGAGACAACACTGCAGTTTAGCAAGAGTTTGCTGTTGTGCGGTCGTTATCAAAACAACGCATTTTCAGTGGTTCATAATTTGTGCGCTCTTCGAATTTATTTATAAGCTTATCATTCTTTATCGGCATGCGCAGCGAACTCCCCATGTAGGAGAGACAAGTATGTGTTTCGGTATCTGCTCCTGTCACTGGCCCAGGGGCCAATCCAGGATTTCGCCAGGAGGGTATCACTCAGCCAATGTTCGTCAAGTGGTCTACAGATTCGAATTCATATTCAGATCGATGTTCACGACTTTCACCAGCTGTTGGTCACATGCTCGATACTAAGCCTAGTCGGTGTCAGGTACTTTGCTCATCGCGTTGCGGACGTCAGTATGTAATTTTATACACGCTTTTTCGGACATCCAAGTCCGTTTTAAAAGATAACTTTAGATCCGCGACAACCCAGCCATTGGTAGTAGGAGTAAGACCTACTGTAAATTATATACCAGTCTTCTCGATGCAATCAGAAGATCGCGCTGCGTCTCTGCGCGGATTTTAGGTTCTCTCTCTACCAAACGTCCCGCTCGGGCGAATATCAACCTAACACGCGCCCGGGTGGCCGCCTGGATACCCTTCGCTCGGGTGGGGGCGGTCAGTTTGATCACCCTGAGATGTCGGGAGCTAAGAGACCTAGAGACACCAAATTTACAGGTTGTGTTGACCTGTACGTGAAATCACCTAGGTCAAATTTTTAGATTCCTAGGTTATAACCCTCAGGCCAAATGAGGTCAAAAGTTCAAATTCCAGGTTGGTCTCCAGAGTGCCCCCAGAACCTAAATAACCGTTTCTAAGCAAATGGTCACGTGCTCATTTCAGGTCAGTGACCTTGCTTGACCTTTTGAAGGTCGTGGTGATCAAAATCATGCAAATCGCCCTGATTTTTTTCATTTAAATAAACGACAAAGATTACGCTAGGCTGTAGGTTCCGAAAAACCAAACGTTGACCTGGGTCATTTTAGGTCAATGACCTATTCTGACTTCTAAGCAGTTCATGGAAGATGTATAATGCGGTTCCTACTATCAATAAATTCGAAATAAACACCAGAAATTACCCCATACAGCAGCCCTAGAATAATAAAACAGGTTAATTTCGACCTTCGTCTGACCTTCCTACCTGACCTTAGGTCAATGTAACTTGCTTATTCAACGGTTATGTTACCTGAGAAAGCATCTCAGAGATGTATGACTTCGTCTAACACTCCGCTGTTGCATCAGACTGAACGATTCCTTAGAAACTGGCTTCGCTGAAACCATGGCCTAACTTTGACCTGCCACAGGTCAGCGACATTGCAAGGTACATTTAAATATTTAATGTCAGATGATCCGCTATTTAATTGTTTACAGGTATGCAAAATTTCGCGCGGCTACACCGCGCCGTTCGAAAACTGTTCCGGAAAAACCTTCGGAGGGGGGGGGGTGTCAATTTGACCCTCCACTCTAGCGCGTGCCAATGTATTGCCATCTCGACGAACGAACTCACATGGCTGTGTGCCTGGACATTGGTGACGCTCAAATCCTTGGGATTTTCGCCCTCCTGCTTCCGCTATTTTTATCAGGGAAAATCGTCCTGCTGAACGCAGCCCTGCGCCGCTATTCATAGGACGGACGTAGACACAAAGACATGGAGCCCATTTGTTTTCTTATAATACATATTCCCTAAATCAATTTCCACGTGAAAGCAGTTACTCTTACACGAAATATAATTATTGCATGTAAGCAACTAAGTGGTGTCACATGACGTGCACACTGAAATGATGGTGATGGCAGTCGAAAGGGGTGAAGGCATTTACATTTTTAGACTTAATTTCGCATATTTCCTGGAAGTTAAGTATAGGTTGAGCTCGTTGGGGTGTGTAAAACATGTTGTTGGTCTTTATCATGGCCATGAACAAATCTTGCGTTGGGCGTTTTGGCTACAACAAAGGGGATAATTTGATAGCACCGGTATCGTGTTGCGCAAGTGACACCAGCAATGCACGAGTAACATCGGTGGTGTCATATCTATGAAGGGGAATTCAATGTACCTCACCATCGGCGTGTTCAATGACCCAAGGCATCTGACTTATAAATTCCTCAGAATATGCGGCTGCTGCCACGTTTGGCAAAACAGACAAGAAAAGACGTTCTGTTTTGTGAAAAAGGTCGAGCTTCTATGTTTTTATTCATTGCGTCAGGCTCTTACCAGTCCAAAAATGCCTGGTGATACCCGCAGTGTCATTGTAGCGTAGACACATTTCGTCTCTTGCTATCCTGGAAGCATGTAGTGTCCCTACAAATTCATCACTTTTTAAATAATGGACGTAGCATGAAAGTACCTACGCTATTCTTCATGCATTAACTCACATGCATCGCACATAATACATGCAACGGTGTACTGTTTTCTGACACGTTTGCTTTTGCTGGAGCTATGAATGGATCAGGATAGGTGAAAAACCTAGATGAGAGCGTTTTGTGTTGAAACATTCGCAAAAATGATAGTTGAGACTACCCCGTTTGCAGTTGCAGTCGTTTGTTCCCAATGAGGTGACGTCATTAGCAGACAATCAGCTGGATGCACTGAGTCAGCGTTCAGTGGACGTGGCCCAGGCTTGACGCGTGTATCCGCGGGTAGGCCTATTCACTCGGGAAGACCAAACACTTAAAACCGCTGCCCAAACCTCCCCGCCACAGCGTCACTGTCCAGATCGATCCCGCCACAGAGGCAATGCCCAAATCGCCCCGCCACAGCGGCAATGCCCAGATCGCCCCGCCACAGCGGCAATGCCCAAATCGCCCCGCCGCAGCGGCAATTTCACGGCGCTCGGCAAATTCTCTTCTCTGTTGCTGCCAGGAGCTCAAGACGCACGGAACTGGATCGCCTAATCTTCTGAAAGACTTGAAAACCTACACCATGCAGATGTGTTGCCATACTCTGAACCCTGTAAGACATGTATAAATGGATGACGATGTATTAGTGGTTCACTGAAAAGCTGAAGTAGCAGCCAAACTTTCCTGACAATCTTTGGTTTACTTGTAAGGCGCACGCTTGTGAAATGGTATTAGTAATAATGCTTTTTTATCTTTAAAAAAGCTTACCGGATAGGCCCAAACCGCACTGCAGCGAATCCTGCAGTGACTGAGGTGTGTCGCACGGTGATGACCCGGCGTGGCCTCACCGGACCGCTCTGGTCCAAGGAAGGTGGCGGCGGCGTGCGCTGCAGTGAATACGCGGCGGCGCATCGAAGCCTTGGGGAAGTTCCGGTAGCATTTAGGAAGAGCACGCCACTGACTGGCGCGTACGGGCGCCCCAAGTTGGCAGGTTTCAACAGGCTGGTTTTAGCAGGATGCCCCCCCCCCCCCCTCCCCCTCCTCCCATTGTCCCGACAAATCATAGGACTTATTTCAGGATCACTTCGGAGACAAAGTGATCAGTCGCCCACTCGACCTGGAACTGTCGTTCGTCTCCTGACCTGTCACCTCTCGACCTTTCTCTGTAGGGTTATCTGAAGCGCCATGTTTATAAAAGTAATCGCGGACGGTCTCTTAGGCCAAGGCAGCAGAGAAATAAAACATTTAAACGATCTTCACTGTTCAGCGAGTGAAGTTTTCAACAATTTCGCCAAGCGAATTGGGGTGTGTTGGACCCGTTGGGGCTTACGTTTTGAGTATGTAATAAGACAGACTTAAAATCAGCACGGAACATTTATCACTATAAAATTTAGTGGGGCTAACATACAGATCATTGCGCATGTTCTGTAAGAACCCGAGGTTTTGAACTAAATAGACAGGGCAGTTGCTGCTAAACTTAGGAAAATAATGTTGGGAACAGAGATAGCTATGCAAAAATAAATAGCCGCTAATGCAAATAAATGATGGTACAATACACTAGATGAGGACGATATTCAGAACAATTGTTCCCTCTGCAATGCTAATTCCTAGTCATTTTTTGTCACATGGTTACATGCCACAGCAGGGCAATGTGACAGACAGTTGTGGCGCTACCAATTTTTGATAGGAGAGGGGCAAGGTCGTAAAACCACCACAGCGACACTTGAATACAAAAATAATTGGTAGATATTGCGTTTGATAACTATTATTCTCGTAAATAATCATTACTATGCAATTTCATCGAGCTCCTTGCGCTGCACCACCTCAAGGCATGGGGTGTGAGAACCGGGGATGAAGGCAGAGCCTTAGACCAACAATTTTCTAAAAACTTTGCATTGGCCTTATGGGTGTTGATCGCAAGAACCAATTCGAACGG